CGAAGGAGGGGGGGAGCCTTCCTTTCGGGCCACGTGTTGTCCCCTCCACACGTTCCCACAGGAAGGGAGCCCTCTCTCCCCCCCACACACAGAGCCTTTCTCCAAGGGTCTCTCTTGGGTTGCGCTTCTGCCTTCCGGGCCTCTCTTTCTCTCTCTGTCCGTGCACGTGTCGGCCCCCTCCACACGTTCCCACAGGAAGGGAGCATCCTCACCCCCAAAACACACACACACACACACATACACACACACGTGCCTCTCCTTCTGCCCAGGTGGGCTTGCAAAGTCTATATAGGAGGTTGTGTGTCTCTCTCTTTGCTCTCCTGGGGATGCTTGTTTGTTTGTGCACGCGGGAAGGTGTCTGAGGTGGGGTGGAGGGTGCCGAGGGCAGGTCCTGGGGGGGGTTGCATCCTCTCTAAGCTGTGATGTTTATGCATAGGCATACCGATTTCCTCCTCTTGAAGATACCCGTGTCTTCCTCCATGGGTGCGTTCACATGACCACGCGCACACGCACACCCTGGCCTTCCGAGGAGGGCATTGAGGGAGTCGGTGGCAGCAGCAAAAAAGCAAAAGCAAAATGTTGTGCCTCTTAAAAGTCACTCTAGCTTTATTGAGTGGTTTTATTTATTTATTTTGTGTGTGCCACAGTAAACCAAGCTAAATCTCATGTTTGCATGCATGTGTTGGAGCATGAAGTATTTATAAACATGCATGCACGTGAATAATAGCACATGCGCCATAGAATATGAGGTGCAAACCTTCAAGCCACCCCCCCACCCCACAAAATGTTTCAACACTTGTACATTTTCCCTTGTCCTGCTGTTTTAGTTTGACAGTTGTTGTGCTGAAATGTTTCATTCTTCACAACTTCTTTCCTTTTGTTTCTTATCCTCTTATTGTGTTACTATTTTATTTTAAAGCGCCCTGTGTTTATTTTAACATAGAAAACATCCTGTTCTTGAAAGTGTTACAAGGACTCTAAACCAATGCACACAAATATGTGTCGCCCTGTTGCAGGAAAAGCAACAACGCTAAGGACGGCAGCCGCTCTCCTGGGCTGCAGCCAGCTTTTGTCACCTCTTTTTAAAAAACGGAGGTCTCAGAAATCTCAGTCGCTTTGACAAAATGTGTGTCATTTTCAAATGCACCATGTAAGATGCACAAGTATGCATAATGTATGCAACTGCACTATAGCATGAGTTTTGTGTGTATAACATTCATACAAGAATACACTCTTATGCGTCATTCTCTCTGTGTGTTACTACACACACACACAAAGTATTTGGAGCAGGCGCTGCACTCCCTGAAACCCCATGCATTCTCCTTGATCTGATGATAGAGCAAATTTTATTTATTTAAATTATTTGTATTCCACTTTTCTCCTGAGAAAAGGGCCTAGGGGTGGCTTGCGTCATTAAAACCCACAATAGAGAGATTGATGATGCTTGAACGTTGGAACCCTTTTCTTTGAGGCCAGGTTTGGTACAGATACCTTCCACTCTAAAATTAAAGTGAGTTGTGTCGGTCCTTTGGGAGGAGGCAGGCAGGGATGCTGGGGCCGGACGAGAGCATACATCCCTGCGCCATACTGATCCCGTTTGCGGAAGGAGGGAGGCTCCTCCTCCTGTAAGGCATCATCAGCTCCCCTTCTAGGCTCCTCTTCCCCTGGACCGAGGCCTTTTGGGGTACGTACCTGTTCTTATGGTTGTCTTTGCGACAAATGCAGAAAACAGCTTTGTGTGTTGGCTGTTTAAAGCAGCAATTTTTAAAGAGGGGAGGGGATGATGAGAAATGGGGTGTATGCCCCCCCTTTGGGGTTCTCTCTGTTAAGACACTTTTGAAGGATATGTTATTTCTACATGCCGTTTTCCTTTACCAGCGCAGAGTGTCATTAGAAAAAGCAGAATTATTTTTTTGAGGAAGAGGTTAAAAAGAGGGATGTTTATATTATATTCTCCACCTCTACTTAGGTGGGCTTTTCTCACCCCCTTGGGTGTTTAAGGGAAACCTGTTTTCTAGCTGTTTTTGTGGAGCCTTCCGGGATCTGACTACTCCCGAGGAGAAACAAAGCTAATTTTTAAGATGACCATTTTGTGGAATATTGCAGAGCTCTGTCGTTAAGTTAAATGTTAAGTTCTTTTGAATGGAGTTCTGAAAGGCCGCCCCCCACACATCTTGTTTGAATCAGCAGAATAAAAAGCATTTGCTTTTAGGTGAAATGAGATTTCCAGGCACCATCTGTAAACGGAAATATTTGAGAGAGGAATTCTCTCTGGTATAGTCACTAGCTATGACTCCTTTTTTTCCCCTTCCAGTATATAGGGGTTTTTCCGAGGCTGGTATTATTCTTTTATTCGCCTTGGTCCTTTTAAGGATGGCAATGGGAAGCGGGAGTTAACTTTTAATTTTTGTTTTGCATGGCCCTGGGATGAATGCAGGGCTGTGTTTGGTCCGCTGTCCATTATCTTCATCCTCCCCCCCCCTCAGGGTAACAATGGTGGCGGGCTTTGCATGCAGCCTGTTTTCCTGGCACCATTTGGAAATGTTGATTTTTTTTTCCCCAAGCGTATGCTTCTCTCTCTCTCTCTCCAGCCACTGAAAGCTTTTGTGGCCATAAAACCTGCCCAGACCATCCTATCTCTTAGTGATTTATCCTCCAGCCCAGGAGAGCACTTTGCTTTGTATACTAAGGGTGTGGCTTGTGATCTTCACCAAAGCAACATAGAGCGTCTTGCGCTTTCTATGGCACTATGGAATAAGGTTGTTTTCATGCATGAGACTTGAGCTCCAGTTGGTTTTTTTTTTGTTTTTTTGTTTTTGCTGGTTTTCACTGTGTGGATGATGCTGAATCACTGTGAGATAGACACAGAGAGAGAGAGAGAGATGGATAGGCACATACTGTGCATTCATGTTTCATGGTAGTTTCTGTCTTATTCCACGCACAGGGTGCTCGACAGTTTGCAAAGCGCTCAAAATGCAAACCATTTGGTTTCATTTAGAGACGTGGTTTTTGGGCCACGATTCTGGGAGTTGCAGCCCAAAATCACAAATACGCGCAGCTCTGGATTTAGCAACCCGTGAGTTAGTGCCTGCCTATTCAAGAAAGGTGGCTTCCGAAACGAGAAACTTGCTTTTAAATGGAGTAACTTTCCTCTGTGCTGTGATATTGACCAGCAAACATGGGAGTCATCCTAGCAATTCAGATATGTTGTGTGCTTTTGCCGTAGAATGTATTGTGATGCCAGCATGTATTGTGCATGTGTCTGGTCTCTGGGTGTCTGTGAATTTCGTTGTATGTGTATATACTTACAATGACAATAAATTATTATTATTATTATTATTATTATTATTGAATGGCTTTTACAGATGATGGTTCTGTGGGCCAGGACCCATCTCTGACTCATCTCTGCCCGGCCCTCTCCTTGCTCTGGCGTTTGCCTCCAAACACAGATGTGGGTTTTGATAATGTTTGCATGCAAGCTGCTTCTCCCTCCTATAAGCCTTTAATCCTGGCTCCATCAATCCTAAAAGCATCCTTAACTAATGAACACAAGACCTTGCTTTTGCTGGTTGGTCTGTGGACTTCCTGCCTTCATGTGGCTGAAACCTCTAGTCCTTTTTCAATTCATGCATTTTTAAAAGATACCTTAAAAATTCCAGCCCTTCTATGAGATGACCTGTTGCATGGTTAACTAATCCCACACCTATGAGCAAATCTGTTGCCTTTCTGCCTGCAAAATAGCTGCTACCCACATGAAAAGCTCTGATCCATGTGCTCAGAAGAGGTGGCAGACGGGAAAAGCAGGGCTTTTGCTCAGAATGAGTTTATCCATCACCCTTTCGGCTATGAAATTTCACTAAACGTGGACCAACAAAACAAAGATTCATCACAAAGGCCGGGAATCAAGTTTTTGGAATTCTGTGACTCAATATTGGACCCAAATAACAGTTAAAAATAAATACTGCCCTAGAGAACAGATGGGAGGTGTTCTTACTGCTTATTGTCCGTTAGTCTGCATTCGATGGGGTGGTTTGTGTTGAAGTATCCAACGAAAGATTGTTTGTTTTATATGGCTTTTGGTTTGTACAACATGCTGGAAGAGGCATCAGAAACTGCTTTATGTTGAGTCCAGTAAGGTGGCCCCCTTGATGTGCCAGAAGGGACTTGGTTAGGGTTAAGGGGCTGATTTTTAGAAGGGTAGAACGAGAGATGGTGATATTGACCATGTTATTCACTGCCTGTGTTTTGATTCAGCTCTTCTACAGCACTGGTGATGTGTGACATACATGGACGTACCTTAGTGGGCGGGTGGGTGTTGTGTTGGAGTGGAAGTTAAGGTAACGACATAGATGGATCCGTGCACTGATGTTTTGAGTAAGGGTAGAAAGGGGGCTGAACATGGAGCAGAATTCCGTCGCTGTGTGTGTGGATATAATTTCAAATATAACTTTTCACTTTAAATCATTTTGCCCCTCATTTGGGAATATTACAGCTGGTCTGTTTTCATGCTGCTTTTTAAAAAATATAGTGTGAGTCATCTTAAGTCCAGGTTTTGGGAGAAAGGCAGGATATAAATCCAATAAATAATAATAACTGTCCCATCCTCCTCCCCCCCGCCCCCAGAACAGGGTGACAAGGACCACGGAGACAGGAATGTTTGTGTTCTGGTTCCATCCTTTCTTAATACTTACCTTTTGTCTGCTGTGTTTCCGTAGGTAGAAGGTGGGTGTCGAAGGAGGCTCAGCATTCTTGCCCACAGGAGGGAGCCGTTTGTCAGAGGCCGCTAGACTTCTCAGCTAACTTCGCTCGGCTGTTTTCTGGGTCGCATCCTTTATTCGTAAGTGGCTTCCAAATAATCTTTGCTTCCGAGCCACAAGTTGGTGTTCTGCCTCTGGCAGTAGACCTGGTATGCCTGAGTAGGAGTACGAGAGCTGGCGGAATGGCTGTGCTCTCTGAAAAAGGGGAGAAAAGGTGGCTTTGGTGGATTCTTTGGCTTTGTTTTTGCTCTTTGCCAAAAGCCCGTCTTCCATGTTGCGTCGTTGTCGGGAACATGGGAAGAAATGAGAAATCAGAGTTTGCTGCTCTTGTTACTGCCCCCTCCCCTGCCTCCCCCCCGGTGATGACTTCTGAGACGGAAGTCTTGGGAAAACGGCCGTTCAGTGAGCAGATGAAACTATAGGCTGCCTGATCCATTCTTGGAGCAAAGCAAGGTGCTTAAAGGTGGTCAAGAGTCTTGAGAAATACTTCTTTTCCCCTCCTCCCCGAGGAGCAGGATGACGCCAGGGAGAGATAACGTTTGACCCGGTTATGCGGCTGCACCCATAGAGTCTCATGGATCCAGCTTGGGGTTAGCAGGCATGCCTTAGCTGCTCTTCCTGCATGTGGCTGTGTAGGGCAGTGTCTTTCAAGGGATCTTCTGCGGAGGGGCGGTCGTCTTTTGAAAATCTACCAAGGCTCATCTGTAAAACGGGAGCCCTCGTGGAAGAGGGTTTGTCTGTAATGTGCGCTGAATGCGCTCCCCAGAGGTGAGAAATGTTGGCTTTCAGTGGTCCTGCATGCTTTGGCAGAATACTGCAAGGCAGGTCTTGAGTCTCTCGGTTGGCCTTCATCTTGAATCACAGAGTGTGATGTGAAGAGCTAACGTGCTTTCCCCCTCTTTTTTTGGCAGTAATTTAAGAGCAGGAAGAGAAAGGAGGATTTGATGTTTTGTGTGACTCCCGTGGGAATAGGACCCATCATGAACATCACGAAAGGCGGGCTCGTGCTGTTCTCGGCCAATTCCAACCCATCGTGCATGGAACTATCGAAGCGAATCGCAGAGTAAGGAACAGTAGTTTGTTTTTTTCTCACTGTGCTCTTTGCTGGTCCTGCTTGCCCACCTGAGCCCTTGACCCCGGAGGGGGTGGGAATCAAGTACAACCTTTGACAGGTGGAGAGGCATAGGCGCAACTTAATGAGCAGTGTCCAGGACATGGGCGACTTTTGCCAAGACAAATGTTGCATTTAAGGTGCAGGATCAGTCCTGGAAGGGACTCTATTCTAACAGCTTAAATCTCGGAGTTGGATAAAAGTGTACTAATTTTAAAGCCTTTTCTACTAGACTAGATTTGTGTCAGCAAGAAAGTGTGAAGTCAGAAAGGTTAAGATGGAGGTTCTTAAACTTTTGGTCTCTTGGCCATAGCTGGTCCCTGATGTGTCTTCTGAGCTGATTCCCACGACCCTGGTATTCTTGAGCTGGAAGTGTGGAACCTTTGTTGCATGAGCTGAAGAGGCTAGTCATGTCTTGTGTCCATTTCAAACCAAACAGAAAATCAGCCTGCCTCTTCAGCATAGCTTCAGTAGAAGCATAGAAGAAGAGAGCCAAGCGAAGGGATTGAGATTCAGGGGTCGGAAGCAGCTGAGAAACAAACCCTTTAATGGTTCCACTTTAGGGCTTCTATTAAGAAGGCAGGAATTCAGATTTCTACCCATTTCCCCAACGAAGTGCAGTAGGACTCCTGTATCCACGGGATCAGTATCAGCGGATCCACTTATCTAGGGTATGAAAATATTTTTAAAAAATGTTGCAAGAAAAACCCTCGAAATATATATTTCTAAAGGTGAAGTTACCGGAACTGGCCATTAGAGGAAGCCAGAGACCATGCTCGGTATGGCGTTCGCTATTAAAATAGTGCAAATTTTTGAGAAGCGGTGTGACATTTGCAAGGCAAATATTCTGCAGCTCGAGAGGTGGCCTATTTAAAATGGCACAGGGCCACATCTTCCTCTCAAGTAGCCCATTTGTAAGTCGGGCTCTGAGCGTAGCAAGAAAGAAGCAGCATCACTCTTGAGCAGAAACTGGCCAACCCCAGTTGTGGATCTGTAAAAACGGAATCAAATCCTCCATAATAACCCACTCCGTGATTGCAGAGAGAGACCCTTGAAATTATGTGTGCTTTGTGTGGTTTACATTTTCTCTTCCTCTTTTTTTTTTTTAAAGCCAGGACTGAGTTGTTTGGGAAAACATCGCTCAGCCCCAAATGCTGGAGCAAAATCTGTTTGCAGTCAATAAATCACATGCAATTAGCCCTGTATGGTTTTCAGTCGCAGCTGTTTTAATACCTGAACTCTGCTCTCCTCTGTTTTTGATCCTTCTACAGGCGGCTGGGAATCGAGATGGGCAAAGTCCAGGTATATCAGGAGCCAAACCGAGGTGAGCCTCCCTGGCGAATAGCGAAGGCATGAATCATGCCTTTGGTTAACAGCCTCCCTCTCTTCTTTCCGTGCTCTTTCTGGAGCATCCTATCCCTTTGGACAAATTCTCCGTTTTAGGATCGCTTGTGCCGCCCCCCCCCCCGGTACCGTCATTGGAAAAATGTCTCTCCCGTGCCCAAACAAGAGAGACCAGGTCCGGATTTCCTTCCCTGCCTCGGTGGTTCCATTTAATTAGAGGCGTTGTGTTCTTTTCAGCCATGTCAGCCTGACCTTCCCGCTGCAGCCGTTGCATCAGGCAGGGACAGATTCTGCCAAATGAAAACAGATCCCTTGCGGTGGCCACCTGTGAGTCAGGATCCTTCCCGGCTCTCATGCTGGAACAGTGTCTGAGCTGGTTGGAGAAAGAGGGAAGAGGCCGGAGTTACTTTTTAACGGTAGCTCATTGGCGTTTGCTGTTTCAGTGTTTAAAAATTAGCTCTTTGCTTTTACTTCTTTGCCTCTTCAAACACGTTGCTCTCTGTGTCACTGGTTGGGTTTTGTGGAGTTTTTTCCCCCCAAACCTTAGGACTGAGAAACAGCCAAGAGGTAGCTTGAAAAATAATCCTCTGTTCGGAAGGTTCTTAAAACTTCCTTCCCAAACCACTTTAAAAAGAAGTCTCGCCCGCCCAGTGAGATCATGTTGTTGAGGCTTGTTATGAGTTTTTTTAAAAAAACGCGATTTTGTTCTGCTCTGCGTGTGACTTGTTGTGGGTGACGTCTCACTTTGTGATTACACTTTTTCACCCAATGCTAACGGAGCCTCTTTCCTTGGGCCGGCCGGGGACGAAAGGCAAGGCTGTTTGATTGGAAAAGCTGGCTTTCCCCCCAACAAAGTTTCACGTCTTCCCTGCTGGTTTAGTTTTGAATGGTGGGAAATCACCGTGTTTTGCTATTGGGATGGCTTCACCTGAAGAGGGAGGAGGAGCCAAGCCCCAGCCTTAAGTGACTTTGAGACACACGACATTGTGTGTGTGTGTGTGTGTGTGTTACACATGTACATACTATGCATACTGAGCCCCGTGCGTGTGTTTCCCTTTGGCAGAAACCAGAGTTCAGATCCAAGAATCTGTCAGGGGGAAAGATGTCTTTATCATCCAGACGGTTTCAAAGTGAGTACCAGCATCTGATACCAGGAAAGAAAGATCTGCTGAAGACAGAACCCCTGCAGTGTCTGCCTTTATCTTGGTTTCAGGTTATATCAGTGAAATGTTGGTTGTGGGACCCCAGTACAGTAGGACTCCCTTTATCCACGGGATCGGTATCTGCTGATCCACTTATGAAGACATTAAAACAATTAAAAGAAAAATCCTAGAAATATATTTTCCTGAAGTTACCAGACCTGGCCACTAGAAGGAGCCAGAGACAATGCTATGTATAGTGTTTGCTATAATCCACAATTTTCAACATCCACGGGGAGGGCTTGGAACCAATCCCCCCCCCTCGGATACAGAGGTCGTACTGTATTAACCATAGCATCATCCTCTGCACTCAGTTCAGCTCCCTTCCTTAGTATACATCTGCAATCTTCTGTTATATCAAGCCCCCTGCATTCTCTCCCTTTAAGGTGATTAACCAGCCAGCCTAGATGCCGCATGAATTTTAAAGCTGACATTTTCTGCGGCCCCAAAGTGATCATGGGAGTTTTCCTGAACACTCTCCCCCCTTTTTTTTTTCAATTTGCGATTCTTTCTGATCAGAGAGAGAGTGCCTCTTCATCAGCTTCCTGCGCAATCTCTTACTGGTCAGTGTAGCCTAATTTTACCTTCGTATTTTCCTTCCATCGCTAGCTAAGGCCCGAGAGGCTGGAACTTTTCACAGATCTATGTGTACGTACGCATAAGAGGGAAGGTTCAGCTCGAGGGATCTTGAAAAAGGCAGAAAATCTTTTGTGGCTGCAGAGAGGAGAAGCCCTTTAGAATAGTCGCAGAGTGTTGCACCCGGTGCAGGAGCTTTTTCTGGGGAAAACCTGAATCGTGGTGCGTTTCTTTTCTTTCTCCAGTGAATGAGCCAGTTTCTTTTTTTTAAATCCTGCCAAAATGGAGGATTTAGGGTGTTTAAAATAAACTCTCTGTGACGCAAAAGTCAGGGTGAAGCACGAGTGTCTCTCGGTTGCAGGGACGTGAACACCATCATCATGGAGCTGCTGATCATGGTCTACGCCTGCAAGACCTCCTGTGCCAAGAGCATCATCGGGGTGGTCCCCTACTTCCCTTACAGCAAGCAGTGCAAGATGCGGAAAAGGGGCTCCATCGTCTCCAAGCTCCTGGCGTCGATGATGTGCAAGGCGGGTGAGGCAACGGGAGCCGGGGTGGCGGGGAGGGCAGGGGCCCTCCGGCCGGGGGGGTGCTACGGTGGCCATTGCATCACCAGCTGCCCAGGTGGGAGTCCAAGTCCCGCACGGCCGGAGGGCACAGTGTCCGAGGAGTCGGACCTCGGCTTTTGGCTCCTCGCCGGTGAAGCGACGTGTCCGTCCTGTTCCTTTTTGCCCTCCTGAAGGCCTGACCCACCTCATCACCATGGATCTGCACCAGAAGGAAATCCAGGGCTTCTTCAACGTCCCCGTCGACAACCTGAGGGCCTCTCCCTTTTTACTACAGTACATTCAAGAAGAGGTGAGCGACGCTGCTGACGCCGACACCTCCAGGCTACGGTGGTTTTGGGGGCTTGGTCCTCAGACATCCCATCCTGGGCTTGAGGAGCAAGACAGGCGGCGTATCTTTGGAGGGCACCTTCCCCTGTCTGTGGTTGAAAGAAGGAGCCGCTGTTAATGTTCGAAGAGCAGTTAGATGAGGAGAGTCGGTAACCGCTTATCTCCTGAGGCTCGTCTTGTGCGGTCTAGAACCTGCAGCACTTCCGTGTGCTCTCGGCCGTGGGCAGGGGAGCTCTTCCTGGGACCCCCAAGGGTTAGAGCTGGGGACCTTGTGCTCTCTGCGGCTTGCCCACAGTATATGCGTGTGTGGGGGGGGCAGACCTCTAAACTCGGGGCAGGGGAAGGCGTGTTTCAAAAAGAAGGGGAAACCATTCAGTTCTTGCTCACCAAATGGGACAGGGCTCAACTTAGCTTTTCACTGCGGGGAGTGAGGTGGAAATGTCAACTTGGCATGTGGATTTTTTGGCTTCTGATCCTTACAGATTCCAGACTACAGAAATGCTGTGATCGTGGCCAAATCGCCAGCCTCTGCTAAAAGGTGGGTGGATCGTTTTTGTTCTTAAAGCCGTGGAATGGTAGAACGATATGGCTGCTTTGACATCTAAATGTTGTAATTGCGTGGGTGTTGGCACAGCTTGTAATAAGCTTGCAGGAGGTGCATTGAATATTGACTGGAAATCTCCACTCAGTGAATAGTATGCGCTGATTACATGATTGCATTTCATCACTAGACTCTTTAGAGTAGATTTCAACTGATAACTATTGCATCTTACAACAAAATATTTCTAGTCTTGATTGTAAGGAAACACATGGGGAAATAACCGTCTGCTTGATGTCTGCCATGGTGGAAGGCAGGCTTGATCCCTGGGGCGGGGTGCTGGGGCTGCTGCAATGGGCATGTGCTCATCTGGGGAGGTTGTGAGCCTGCTGAATGCCCAGGTGTGTTTAGTGATGAGGGGTTTCCTCGCCCTTACCTGCAGGGCACAGTCTTTTGCTGAGCGCTTAAGACTGGGTATCGCCGTGATCCATGGAGAAGCTCAGGATGCCGAGTCTGACCTGGTAGACGGGCGCCATTCCCCCCCGACAGCCAAAAGTGTTGCTGCCATTCACCCGAGCCTCGAGATACCCAGTAAGTAACTTAGTGGGGCAGGGACATGCTTAGGGGGGAATGAGCATTGCTCACACTGTGGGTAGCTCCCTCTCTGGTGAGCTTCCTTTAGAGATGGGCACGAACCGGTTCGTCCCAGTTCGTCAAGGTGGCAGCACAGGTGCTGCTGCCCCCCTCCTCCGTTGATCAGCCACTCACCTGGCTCAGCTGGCTTGCTTTCAGAAAATCCCTTGAATAACATGGAGGCTGGGCCTGTCTGAGCCTAGAGGAGGTGGGGAGGGGAGCAGCAGCACCTGTGCCGCCGCCTTGACGAACTGGGACGAACCGGTTAGTGCCCATCTTTAGTTACATTTCCAACCGAGAAACAGACTGTGGGTGGGTGGCAGCCAGATAGTTAGGACTGGGCAAGCTGGCGAGGTGAAAGATGGGGTGACGATATGTCCTCTTCTGTGTCATCATCTTCCCCCCCCCTTCAGTGTTGATTCCGAAAGAGAAGCCTCCCATCACGGTTGTCGGAGATGTAGGCGGAAGGATAGCCATCATCGTGGTACGTAGCTGTGTCTCAATGGGGTTCAACAGTCTCTCTTTGCACCTGTTCATCCTGTCTCTGCACATGGGCAGAAAAGCTCTTGAATGTGCGCTGAATAGGAGGTGCATTCCATATGTTTGTGTGCACTTTTCACAGGTTAGGTATGGGTTTAAATGCAGAAATAGCCACTGGGAGGTGCGGGTGGACGAGATTGCATCTTGATGTATGAATCATTTTGGATTTTCCCTCATTAAATTAGGCTCTGTGTACCTGAGTTTAAAAAGGTTTGTATCTTATTGTGGATTTCAAGTTATTGCTGAGTAGAGAGTGAATATGGATCCTATTTGTCGGGTGTGACTGCTCACGCTGGAGACCAGCTGTTTCCCCCCCCCATTCCAATGGAGTTAAAGAGTCTCACGGAAAACTGAGATTCCATCTGAAAATTCCCATTCCATTTGCATTTGTAATTAAAGGATCGAAATCTCTTTGTAATGGGAGGAAGAAAGAGGATTATTGGATCCAAACAGCAAAAGTGGTTTTGAACAAGGGCTTTTAATGTGCTGGTTTTTATGTAAAGGGAAGGCAAGGCCATCTGAAGAGGGCTGATAACCATCCTTCGTCCCGGCCGTTCTCAGCTGGGCTGCTAATCCCGTTCTTCTGTCAGATGAAGCGTCTGAACAGTGGCTGCTTTTTCAACAAGGGAAAAAAAGGTTTTCATAAAACGTGTTGCGGCGCAGCAAGAAATCAAAAAAACAAAACAAAAACTTTGGTCATGTTGAACAGCTGCTGAGCAGCTTCAGCATTGACCGGTAGACAGGGATTTTGAATAAAACGTTAAAAAGGTCATTTTTGGACCAGACTTCCTGTCTTCTCTTCCCTCGGACAGGATGACATCATAGACGACGTGGACAGCTTTCTGGCAGCCGCCGAGACGCTCAAAGAAAGAGGGGCCTACAAGATTTTTGTCATGGCCACGCACGGCCTTCTTTCCTCGGACGCTCCCCGGTTGATAGAGGAGTCTGCGATTGATGAGGTGAACTGTTTTTTTTTTAAACAGGAGGGCTCCTCTGTGAATAGGCCTGGAAGACTTTTCTGTTGGCACAGGGGTTAAACTGCAGGACTGCAGCCAGGACTCTGTTTGTGACCTGGGTTCACTCCCAGGTAGCTGTTTCGAGGGTCACTCCTCCTACTGAGGTTGATAAAATGAAGAGCCAGCTTGCTGTGAAGGGGGGCGAGGTGGGGTGGGGGGAGAATGTGTAGCCTGCATTATTAAATGGTAAACTACCCAGAGAGTTTTCTAAGTGCTATGGGATGGTATAGAAATAGCACACACTGCTTTTTTTACTTAAATAGTAACCAGACATACCCACAATTTACTATGGGCAGAGAGAGGGCGAGAGATTTCCCTGGGCTCTCCGTCAGAGTCTTCGCCTTGGTGAGAAGGAATTTCCCGCCCCCCTCCCTCCGCAAGTGGCCCCATCCTTTCCTGGCCGCTGCTTTGTTCCCACAGGTGTTGAGTGGGTGGAAGCAGGGGGTGGGTTCTTTGTATCTTTCTGAACAGCCAGCCAATTGTTCTGTCCTTGCTGAGCTTTTCATGTGCTTTGCTTCTCAAAGCGAAGCAACCTTGAGTTCTGGGTAGAGATTCTTTGCAGAGGCCAGAGATTTTACTGGAAAACGCCTTCTTTTGTCTTCTTCCGGAGGGGGGGGGAGATATTGAAGCTTTGGAAAATGTGGCGGTTGAGACAGCATCATGGAATGGAGGGCAGTGAAGAATCTATGCGTCATGTCACCTGCGACAGACTCCTTCCAGATGAAAAGCCTCTGCTCACCTTTCTTCTGTCTTTCTTTCTAGGTTGTGGTCACCAACACCATCCCCCATGAGATCCAAAAACTTCAATGCCCCAAAATTAAGACCGTAGACATCAGCATGATCCTTTCGGAGGCCATACGCAGGATCCACAATGGGGAATCCATGTCGTACCTTTTCAGAAACATAGGGCTGGACGACTGATCGCCTCCCGAGAGGCTCGGAGACGGAAACGATTATTTTTCAGGGGCCAAAACTGGACGGGTGCAGAAAAACCAAGCTGTGAAGCGTTGTGGCTTAAATTTTGTATTTCAATTGATCCCCTTCTGTTCTCTTGCTCCTTCCCTCTTTCCCGCCACACCCCTGGGTTTTAAATTTAGTGGATGAAATTCCTGGAGCTGTTTTCTTAGCAGTTTTTAAAAGGGGGGAAGGGAGGGGTGGCTTTGTCAAAAGAAAAGAAAAGAAAACTTCAGATGTTCTAGTTGCGGATAGATTTACATGTTCTGTTTGTTGAGGAGACCGATTTAAGGGTCTTTTATCAGGGGCCGCATGGCACTGAACCGGAGTAACCCTCCTCCTTCCTACATTCTGAAGAATGCTTTCCTTCTTTGAAGAGCCAGGCGGGCAGGAGAATATTGGCATCCTCTAGGAAATAGCGCTGTCTTCTTCCATGGACAGCAGTTCGAAATGTGGAATCGTTTTAACCGGTCCAAGGTGTACACACCATTCCTGCACGACCCGGTACGGTGGACCTCGCCTGCCTCGGTGCCAAAAAACAAGCTTTCTGTCACGACATCCAGGGGATAAAGAAAAGTTTGTGTGGATGCTTAATTTCCATGAAGTTTTGACCAGGATACCTCCTGATTATGGATGCCTTAGGACGGCAATGCACTTGCGCCCACAGGGTGCAAAAGGCCACGGGGTCCGACGTGGGACGACCTTTCTCCTGCCTGCAGCCTCCCAACAGCTTGCTTTTAACAAGTGCTTCAGTAACGTTAAAAAACCAACTACTCTATACAGTTTGCCTCTGACGACCCAAAAAGGGGTGGAGTGGGGGGATAAGGCACGCCGTTGTACGCGGTTCAGTCACCGTGTTTTTTTGGGGGGGTTAGTGTTTTTTTTTTTTTTTGTAGCAGTGCTTTTATAGAGAAAGCATATGGAATATGCATTGGTATTTATTTTCTGCTGCAAGAGGAATAAAAGAGTTTGTTTTTGTGTGAGCTTCTTAGAAACCGTTTGTTCGGCTGCTGTGTTCTTTTGTGCCCGGATGAACAGCATTTGGCAGGGTTACACTTTAATGGAAGATTCTCATTAAGCAGTGCCGCTGTCTAACGATCAGGCTGACACATTAACAGGGTGTTTAAGAGGTGCATGGAAATTCGTGTGCAACTGGGTTGAAATCAGGAGGAGCAGAGCAGAAAAATTGCTAAGTGTGCATTCCGAATAGGGACCGTGTGTGTGTGTGTGTTTTTTTTTAAGAGCAAAGAAACTCCGATGTGGATTCCTTGGGTTGGACTGAGTGTGAAAACAGACTCTGGTTTCAAAACAGTTAAGAAACTACTCCCCTCATCCCCAAGTCATGCTCTCGGAGAGATGGCACACTCTTGAAGGTTTCCCCCAGATTTTGCACCCGATTTTTGCTACAAAGTTCTCCCTCCTGCGCCGTCCTGATCCTGCTTAGGAACACCCACTGCCTTGCTTGAATGCAGGCTTCCCCTGACCTGGTGTTCTTCAGATTTTGCATGGGCTGAGCCCGAAGTTGGCAGAATCCAATATGAAAGGCCGTGCCCTCTAAACATCCGGATTGCATGCAGAAGTGGCAGTAAACTGTTACCTTTCCCACTGCAGGCAATGTTTTACATCTTCCGTGTTTGCTCATCTTGGAGCCTAACCACACAGGCCATCGAATCATTCCAATTTCGTACTTTAGTTATGTTGAGATATATATTTGTGTATAGTCACATGGTACATGAACAAAACGTATAAAATGATTTAGATAACAGAAGAATTGATACCACGGTGGCTCTTACACTCCATGTGGTTAGGTCCTTAGTCTCTGGGTCCTGTAATTCAGATTATACCTTAGGTCGGATTTGGTTCTTCTAACCATGAGGGGAGGGTCGTTCTGAACAGGATGACTTCTCACATGCGAACTTGTCATCAAATGAGAAGCACTCCTGCGCTCGGTGATTTAATGATGGAGCGTGAGGTTGTTTAATGATCAATTCCTCGGTCCTTGTCGGTGGCAGCAAAAAAACTGACCCAAAGGTGTGATCTCGCTTCATTTTCTGTTCTTGAGGCGATACTGGAACGTTGATGTCCATGGAGCAAGGTTCCCACCGTGAAATGCCCGCTCCTTCATCCCGGTTCAGCATTCCCGATGTGGTCGTCATTGTGGCCTATTTCGTCTTAAACCTGGCCGTCGGAATCTGGGTAAGGAGAAGCTTGCGTGACAAACACAACGGCGCTGAATAGGTTGAACGGACACGCTGAGGGACAGAAACTTTGGTCGATTTGGGGTGGGGTGGGTTGGTTGAGGAGTTTTGGTGTGCTCGCTTTAAAGAACACGGATGGTGTGACTGTTGAGGAATGAAGCAGAAAATAAAACTATTTTTTCATTTCAAGGAATGATAATTTGGTGGATAAGTTTGTACACTCTCAAGGTGGAAGCTTTGGGGTAATAAGGCAAATATATTTAAAGAAGCTTCGTTTTAACCAACTGATTCTTTTAAGGATCTCAATTTAAGTTGGTTAATTAAAGCTGCCTGCATGCTTGAAAATGCCTTGTCTTGTATATTTACTAACAGATCATCTAATTGAACCTTTTCAACCCAAGGGTGGCAGAGAAGTCATCGGGAATCTGCATTCCAGAGCCGAAGTGGCACAGGCAAAAGACTAGAATATTGTAAATTAAAGTTCATGGCCAGTCACTAAGAAGTTTGGGTCTTGTAGAATGAGGTAAAATTAGGCACAAGAGGCCTTCAGTGTTCTCCTACGCTTCAGCGATCCGATTTCAAGGGTATACTGCCCCTGAACAAGTAGAATCCATTGGCTTGTCACGGCTACTAGATCTGTTCCCCGTAATTATTTCCCCCCCCCCAATCTCCCTTTCAAGCCATAAGAGCTGATACCCACGCTCCAGTGTTTGGCCATGAATTAAATATGTATAACCACGTATTTCTTTTGACCAAACCTGAATAGGCTGCTAAATCCATTTAATTGGGTGATTTGCTGCAACGAAAAGGTGCAGCGTTGCTCCATGGCCATGCCTTTCTCCAGAAACCTCTAGTATTAGTTTATTCTTAAGAAAACGTCCCCTTTCCTCTGGCACGGTTTTCTAATCCTGACCGCCCCCAGTCATCATTCCTCAGCTACTTGAAGTGCTGAGATTTCATTAGAGTTGCTTGGGTGGTTCCTCCTTTACCTGTGTGTGTGTGTTTAGTCGTTTAGTCGTGTCCGACTCTTCGTGACCCCATGGACCAGAGCACGCCAGGCCCTCCTGTCTTCCACTGCCTCCCGGAAAGGATTTGGGGGCTGAGTTTTGCAAACGTAAGTGTTCCCCTAAGCCTGCCTCCTCCTTTGCATGAAAAATGCCACCTTTCACAGCTAAATGGAAGACGGAAGATAAGCACCTGAGGAAAATCTCTCTCCACGCCTTGGTGCTCCACGTGAAATCACAAATCACTTTTTAAAATCTTTGTGTCTCCCACCCCCCCCATCCCCCAGTCTTCATGCAGGGCAAACCGGAACACTTTAAGTGGCTACTTCCTGGGTGGAAGGAACATCGCTTGGTGGCCAGTAAGTATGCCCAGTTTATCTCCTTTTAAAAGCATCCTGCGAATGTCACACTTGACCATTGCGGAATGAAATAGCAAAGAGTGCTGTATTACCCTGAGGACTGCCAGGTTTTACCCGGTAGGAGTTTTCCTGGGATGCCGTGTTTGTTTATAGAAACCAACGAGACCTCCGTCCAGGTTTTCCTGGTTGCTACTGCCATTAACTATGACAGCCCACCCTCTTTAAGATAATGAATCGTTTGGAAGGTAATAAGCAGAGGTGGGAACTCAGAGGGCCGATGGTCTTTTGGCTTGCAGATCGGAGCGTCTCTCTTTGCCAGCAGTGAAGGATCTGGCCTCTTCATCGGGCTGGCCGGCACGGGAGCTGCTGGGGGAATAGCCGTGGCCGGCTTTGAGTGGAACGTAAGAGCATTCACTTTTTAAAATGTTTTCATTTAATGAACTAATCAGGCTAGATCTAAATCTGTAAGCTGAATAATACAATAGGACCCCCCCCTCCATTCATGGGATCCGTATCCACTCATTCACTTCTGCATGAAAATACCAAATATAACCCCCCCATTTATATGTAAAGTATTTCCAGGTTATATTTACCAGAACCAGCCACTAGGAGGCGCTAGAGACAATACCATATGTATAGGGTTTGCTATTTCCGCAGTTTTCGGCATCCACGGTGAGGGTTGGAACTGATTCCCCCCCCCCCACGGATACGGTGGTCTTTCTGTACCTTGAAGTATAGATTTCGACAACTCTGTCAAGTTACAAGGACCACCAGATAGGGGAAATTGGCTGTTTTGGAGATATCGCAAAACGACTCTTTACCCAGCTATAAAGATTTAGATCTAGCCTGATTGTAGTTCATTAAGCTCTTTACCCAGAACTTGAAGTTCTTCCCCCTCCCCTTTGAAAACTGCACTCAAAGAAGCCCATGCTGGCTGGGGGATACTGGGAGTTGTGGTCCAAAAGCAGGGAGCTTCTCAAGCTGGACCTTCATGACAACAGAACGGAGGGAAGGCGAAGCGGTCTAAAGGCGGCTGGCTAGCAAACCCTGGCTGCCCTCGAAATGGGTTGCTTTAAGATCCCCCTAAGTCTCCACAGTGTAGCTGGATGCTGGGGTTTGTAGTCCATGGTGTCAGAAAGCTGTTGCGGTGGGGAAAGTGGGCGCTTTGCACATTTGAAAGAGGAAATCAGCATGTCCCACGGGCAAATACTTCTGCTTCACCCACCTTGGGGTGCAGGATCAGAACCCTCCACCCTCAACTTTCTTTCTGGATTTTTGACCCCTTTTAGGCCACCTATGTGCTGCTGGCGTTGGCCTGGGTGTTTGTCCCTGTCTATGTCTCCTCTGGGGTAAGTAGAAAGGAGGTAGGAGTTTGGCAACAGCCAGCCCCTTCTCCCCTGAGCCGGACGGCCATTCGGATCCTCTCCCTTGCTCCTCCAGCTTTGCCCATAGGGCAGGGGTCTGGATCCGACTCCCTTTTCTCCCTTGCCCGCCAGATCGTGACCATGCCCGAGTACCTCCAGAAGCGTTTCGGCGGCGAGAGGATCCGGCTGTATCTCTCCTCCTTGTCGCTTCTGCTGTCCGTTTTCACCAAGATATCCGTGAGTCCACCGGGGGTCGGTTTGAGAAATAAGAGCCCTTAGAAACGGTTGGGAAAGTGGAGTTTTTAATATGTCCTTTGTTCGAGTGTGGAGTGGCCGAGTTTTGGATTCCACCTCCTTGGATTTCTCAGCCGGGCTGAAGGAAATCGGGGAGGTGTGTGGTTCGAAACGATGACCTTCCTGAGCTCTCTGTTCATCCGTTTGTGCTTGCAAGCGCTCTTTTCTTAAGTGGGGATCCATGGCTGCCCTCCTTCTCTTCCTGTGATCTTCACGACAACCCTGTGAGGGGGGCCAGTGACTGGCCTAAGCTTTCCCACCCCAATTTCACAGCTCCGTGGTCACCGGAAGCGAGATCTCCCACGTTTCAGGTTGCCTCTCGCTGGTGGCCTTTGTCATGTTTGCCGCTCGGCCTCAGGCAGCAAAAAGTCTGGGGACATCTCTGCTTTTGCCGTGGATTCTGGAAATGTGCCGTTTGTTCTGGGAAGGAGACGGCCCTGGGGTGACACAGTCAAGGTCGCTGTAGCCTTTTTCCTCCTACCTGTCTGGTGGCCGTCTCTCGGAAAGGAAGATTCTGGTGTGACGCTGCGCTGTCCCAGCAGGGGTCGCTGTTGGCCAAGTTGCTGACCCAGCCAAGGACTCGAACCCGTTTCAGCAAACTAGTGGCATTAACCAGATATTCTCCCACACCCGTGTAGAGGGCATCTCTCCCACCACCTGCCGACTGAGGCTTGTTTTCCGAAAAAAAGCATTCAGAGGCTGACGCTGTGATCCAAGATCAGGCTTCAATGCATGATGGAGGATGCTGGGATTTGTAGTCAACTACCCCCCCCCAAAAAAAAAACCTCCCACATTTCCAAGCAGTGCTCAAGATATTACAAAAATGGCACTTCCTCCTTTGTCTCATTCCTGGCATAGCTCCTGCCCAGTATGCTCGAGCTTCTGTTGTTATCTTGAGTTCTATGGATCACGCCTAGGTGTGACACTGGAAATCCTCCCTATTCTTGCGTGCACACCCTGCCCGGATCCTTTGCTTTGTCCCAACGAAAGCTTCTTTTAGCCTCTCCGAAAGTGGTATTATCTCCCCAGGCTGGGCTCCGTCCTTAATTGCCTTTGGTGGCAACCGCCGTCTGAATCACTCGCTAGTCAGCCGCGGAGTGGCCGCTTTGGCCCGGGGAGATTCGGCCGCGACCGCCTAATCCCGTTCGCTCAGGATTCGGGCAGCCTCGTCGACGGCCTTAAAGCGACATCCCAGAGAAGACACACAGGAAGCAGCAAAGAGGTGGGGCAGTTTAGAGCAGAACTGGTATTGTCGCCTTACAGTTGGCACTTTCCTGCATTCAGAGGGTTCTGCATTTGTAAAAACCACTTTGGAGGGGATTACAACACCCATCATCCCCTGTTAGGGAGCCAACATTTAGAAGAGGGTTTGCTGCTGGAAGGGCAGCAGCCAGACCACCTATTACCACCTCTATAGTCATTCCTGCCAGGTCAGGACGAGGCACGAAACAGGTGAGCTGAGCGCGGGATCAATAAGGCAGTCACATGTTTCATCCTGGCACCCCTTCTGCCCTCTCTCCCCACAGATCCTGATTTTTGCATGATACAAGTTTAACCAGCAGGGCAATGAAATCCTGGACACCAAAACTCCTAATTAGGGCTCTGAGGTGGAATCCGATTGGCCTCTTGAATCACACGATCCTTGTCGGGGCTGAGCGGATCACGGTAATACCACTCCCTGGCCATCGAGAGTGGGGGGCGCTAGAGCAAAACCCTGCCGGCTCCTTATTGCAACTGCTGCCGAGCCAGTGGTTGCAATACCTCTTTCTTGCCATCTGTGGTGGCGGCGCTAGAGTCCCACCGTGGCCCATAGTGGTGCTGTTTAATTACTCTTTTCAACCTATTTAACAATCCATTTCTTTGAGAGTCCTGGTGGGCGGGAGAACGGTTCCTCGATACCTCCAGTGAGTCATAATTAAATGCAAAATTGGCAGGTCCGAGCAACTCTGGTGCCATTCGTGGGTCTTCCTAGAGACCCCCTTTCTGCCCCAGAGTTTGGCTTCACCCCTGAAATGGGCTCACCAGGTCAGTTTGGGAGACACATCCTGTGTTTTTTTTTGGGGGGGGTTCTCAAGTAGGTCACCGTCTTGGGGGAGAGACGGGTGTGGAGGATCTTTTCACCGAGTGCAAAAGGGGTGAGGCTTGTATTAATGCCAGGCCTGGTTACACCACAGCAGCCCATTAATCCTGCAAAGCATGTTAATACCCCAGTGCCCTTCCCCTGCCTCTGATGTGGTCCAGGTGTGCTTTCCGGGAACCAAACTGGGGCAGCTCATCAGAATGAGGCCAGCCAGGAATCACACTTGGGGGTGGGGGTGTTGCTGTTCTTAATCATTACTAAGAATTCACTCTCCCTTTCGATGCCTCGCCTCCTTTCCAGCCTTCTCGGCATGCCTAGGGTTTTACCCTGACCGAAGGTGCAAGAAGGATTCGCAGACATCTTATGACCATATTTAATTGCCTCTCCTTTCCATTCATCTCCTACTGGAGCTCAGTGGCCCTGTGTTTTTTGGAGGGAGCCCCTCAAAACAGGTGATTCTGTGTTGCATCGAAACCCTTCTCCTTTTTCGCCTCGAATGATCAGCTGTAACAGTCTGTGCTTTTTTGGATTTTAAATTCCCTGTAGCTTTTTCCGCCTTTCATCTGCTTGATGAGCACCCATCTCCGGGGAGTTCTTAGCACCCTGCAGGAAATCTGTATTTCAGCGGCTTCCCTCTTTATTTATTGTAGCAAGGAGGAGCAAAGTCATGGCATAAAAGGGGTTGTTTCTAGTTACTCTTATAATTGCACATTAAAGTGGAAAGCATGCTATGTTGGTAGGCTGACTGGAGGCCCAGAATTGGCCCTAGTGCCTTTGAGACGTTTTTAGAGGTACGTTGGCAGGAATGTTTCAGATTTCCCCTTAGCAACCCTGCGTGTTATTTTTGTTTTAAAGAAATCAAACATCATCCTCCTCCCTAAAAGCAACGCGCAGTGCAAATGTTTGTTTAGAAAGCAAGGAGCAGTGAAAATGTATATACAGTATGCAGTATTTGCATTGGAGTGAGTGACATCGACTGATTTCTTTTCAAACACCGGAACGAGGAAAGGGAGAAAAATCACTTTTTAAAAGTGTTTTTTCCAAGCTCTGACAGAAGCTGCATGAATGGTAGCTTCCACGCCTGGATTGTGGCCTTGCAGGGCATTCCTTCCGGCTTCGGGCGCTATCTGTGTTCCTGCCTGGCACACATTATTTCAGGTCCATTATTCTCTGATTGAACATGGAGTTGCTTTTGCACGAACAGATCACAGTCCTACCTCACCTGAAATGGGATAGGATGGGATGAATTATGAATAACCCCTGAATCAAAGATACTTTTAGCTTTGAAAACGCGGTGAGATACAGTACCTGTTTTCTTGTGCCTTGGCCAACTCAATGGCCAAGGTCTTGAAAACTCTTGGGGGAAAAATGCATCTTTCACTACACCTTCAAAAACAACTTTAACCCTGTTGTAGACGACACCAAGAGAAAACCAAACAAAGCCTGCCGTTTCCCAGGAACGGAGATGAGAAATTTTTAAAAAAATTGGATTTTTTTTCTTTTGTAAATTGGGGCGTGGGGGATGACGAACTGGTGGAAAGCTTTTGAGCTGCGACTTTCAAGTCGGTCCCTGGATGGGTGGAATAGCACAGCGCGGGAACGTTTCTGGGTGTTTTTTCCTGGCATGAGCTAAGGTTGGTGTGAATTGACGTTGATAGGCCTCCTTTGAGTGGCAGGAAAGACCCGCGAGGAGAGAGAACAGGGAGGGTAACTCGGGGCTCATGCGATGCCTCCCCTCGCTTCAGGAGAGGCCGTGCCGGAGGCAGGCCCCAGCGCCAAGACGCAAACAGGTTCTGGATCCGTTTGGTGTGGTTTCCGCCTCTTCCTGGTTTTAATGAGATCTGGCGATGCATGAAACGAGGTTGTGCCGGCAGCTGGATGCCCTCGTTGGTGCCACACGTTGGCCTTGTTTGTGTCAAAAATATTAAAAGTGAGGTCCTACCCTAATAAACCCTGCATCTGGCATGCAGGAGATGCCCGGAGGAACGGCGGTGGTTTGTTTTGTTTTTTTTTTAGCCTTTACGGTAAATTGGTGGTGAAGGGAGAAGGATTAAGAGGAAGATGGAGCAAGCTCCTGTGACCACGTTCAATGTGGACAATCCGTGGTCAAGAGAGGGCAAATCCCAATGGCAGGAGAGTCTGAGGATTTTGAGTGTTTGTTACGGAAAGCTTTGTGTCTCAACCTGGACGACTTCCGTGTCCCGTCCGTGGTGCGTCCACGGCTTCTTGAGCATTTAATCTCATCCCAGAATCCTGTGCGATCGAAGGGTCGCCCTCAGTGGATCTGTTGACTATCTGTGGATTTCCAACCTTGGGTCTCCAGAGGTTCTTAGACTACACCTCCCAGAAGCCTTTCCCCCCAGCAGCGCTGGCCAGGATTTCTGGGAGTTGTAGTCCAAGAATCTCCGGGGACCCGCTAACTAACCTGGAAGATTCGTCCAGCTGGCGAGATTTCACCAAAACTGCTTGGAGTGTTGTCTGAATCTGCATTGGTCTTGTGTGACCATGAAGCCAACGTGGCTTTTCAGAGCTTAACTAGGTAGTTAGAGGATTAAAACGAGTGTGGATGATGCTTGTTAACAAATATTCTGCTGTCTGTTCTCTTTTATCCTCATCTTGGCCATAAAGTATGACCAACCCTCTGTGTGTGGTCTCTGCTGTGATCAAGAAGGCTGGCCAAGAGGGCAAAACATAAAAACTAAAAAAGTATTTCTATAGGTCCTGCTAAAGTTATAAAACCTGCTTCTCTTGTAGAAAGGGATCCTAAAGGGTGTAGAACAGTTATCCAGGCTGGAATGAGTCTTTGGAACTGAGCAAAGCCATGAAAATGTGTTTTGGAGAGAGGGGGTGTGCGTGCGTGGAGGGATTATAACTCCCAGAGCATCCCTTATATTGGAGGTTCCCAACCTTGAGTTAACCCAGGGAGGCGCTTGGACTGCAACTCCCAGAAGCCTTCGCCACCAGCAGGTGTGCTGGCCGGGGTTTCTGGGAATCGTAGTGAAAAGAACAGCTGCCCCCCCCTGAGGCTGGAGACCACCATGGCTTTAAACCCTGACCCGCTGGCATCCTGGCTAGTGAGGCTTGAGAGTTGGAGTCGCACCCCCGAATATCAAATGTTTCCGAGATCTGAACATGAGCAAGCACATGTGATAAGCTGTTCACACCATGCCTCCACGCAGTACTAATAAAACCCAGGTTTTATATCGCATGTCTTGAAGATTGTGAATACTTTAAAGGCCTTTCCTCGGCATTCTTTACACGGAGCAATAAAGCTGGGTCAGTTTTGTTCGCCTCGGACGGCGTACGTGAGGCGGAGAGACATTCCAAAGACTTAGAAGGGCCGCAGGTACACATTTTCCTTGAAGGTTTTGGGGGAACCCTTGGGTGCTAACCAAGCTGCTAGACCTCGTGAGAATTTCTGTTTCCTGCTCGGCCCTTCAGGGTGGCTTGAAGGCAGAAGCCAGGTTTGAACTGAAGGTCTGATGATTCCACACCTCCCGGTCCCCGAGATTCCCCTTAACTCTGCCCAGATTTGGCTCACAGTCGAGTCCGAGCGCAGGGGTCGCCCATCTGCCAACGACAGCTGGGGAAAATCTTTTCGTCGCCGAAGTGCAGCTGAGTTTTGAGAGGCAAAAAATGTGTTGTTGGTTGTTTTTTTTTAATGCACAGCATACGCACAAACCCAGCTTGGCACCGGATTCAAAGGTGTGGCAGCTGGCAGGGGAACAAATCCCGTCAAGTTGAAAGAGAGCAATCTTTGGGCGGGCTTGGGGCCCCACCTGCCGCCTTCCGCGTTGCTGCCTCCATCATTTTGCCGGAGGGGAAACAGAGGCCGGCAAAGGTATTTGCTGAGCCAGCGGGAACGAAGGGGAGAGGCAAGCACCACCTTGGCCGGGCCTCCGAGGTGGAGACGGAGGTAGCTTTATGGATCAGGAGCTTCGCCAGGGCTGGTGTTTAAGCAGCCGGAGCTCTCTGTTCCCTCTAACTGTTTTAATTGTCCTGATTAACATCTTTTCAGCGTCAGCCTTGAACCAACGAGTCCTTGGTTCGAGTCGTCCTTTGGACGTGATGCTCCCATACCTGGAGGCACGGCCGGGAACGCAACCTGCACCTTGTAAATTCAAAACAAATCCCCTATGGAAACTTACCCAGTTTTCACGTAACACGCAGATAAGAGTCCACAGGATTCTGACTCTCAAATCCAGCCCTGCTGGGACTAACCAAAGACCTTGGGAGGCTCCAGACTGCCGAATGGGTAGAACCCAACAGGCGAACTGTTCTCTGTTCATTCCAGGAGAGGTTTTACCTATTGATTTCTACCTGTTATCCAGCAGCACCATTAAAAAAAAAATTTTTGAAGCAGCAGCTTCGGTCTTTTGCAACCCGTTGTTAATAACCCAGGCTCGGTTGACAGCCAGCTATTCAACAGGGGAAGCGTTTGTCAGCCCAGTTGCTTTGCGGCAGGGCTATTAAAGCAAAGAGTTCCTTGTTGGTAAGACGAGTGGGAAGACCCCCTCTGAGGCAGATTTCCCCGGTAACCTTTGTTTTTCTCCTTCTAGACAGACCTCTATTCGGGAGCCCTCTTTGTCCAGGTCTGCTTAGGGTGGAATCTCTACCTCTCCACTGTCCTAATGCTGGTGGTGACTGCCGTTTACACCATTGCAGGTAACTAAGCATTTAGTCTCTGGCGGGTTGACTTCAGATAGAAAATAAATTCACAAGTGTGAAAGGAGGAGATCGGATGCAAGTTGGCCAAGAACCCAAGAGAGCTTCAGAAACTGCAGATCAAGCATGTCACCGCGGATCTTAGCCGGGTTTGTAAGCTCCCCGGATGCCCCACTGTCAAGATGGATTGGACAATTGATAGAATCATAGAATAAGGAAGTTGGAAGGGGCCTATAAGGCCATCAAGGGACGTGGGAATGGCACGATCTGGGAATCGTGACCCAACCCTGTCATTTCCCTGATCTCTTGCCGGGAATGGAGCGTGTGATAGTGCACTCCAGATGTTTATCAGGCACCACCGTCTCTGTTTTCTGATGTAAGGAGAGCTCCACCCTGTTCCCCCAGCCTCATTTTTGGGTGGTTTTAAAATTTTAATTTAATGTGTACCTTATTGGATGTTGGTGGCTTGGAGCCGCCAACGTCTACCCTTCTTCAAGGATCGGGTCCTGCCCAACCTCTCTCCCTCCCTGCTCCTAGTACCAAAATCACTGAGTTTGCGGCAGATGCCTGCTGAGCGCGTGAACAGGGGGAGGCATGTTCAGGCACAGACCGTAAGGCCCCACACTGGGCACCATGTGCGGCCCCTTGCACCCAGTTTTCTTTTGACACCCTAGTTGGGTACACTGCGAGGGTCGTAGGGGGGGAAAGGAGAGAACTCGCCGCAGGAAAACTTATAGATTTAGCCAGCCTCTCTAGTAGAGATGTAAAATTTGCAAAAATATATATAAATAAATAAATCTCTTTTTTTCCTAGAAAACAAGGGGGGGGCATTGTAGGTTGTAAAATTTGAAAAATGTGGTTCTTTTTTTCTGGGGAGAAATTGAAATTTTCATAAATTTTACATCCCTACCCTCTAGCAGGTGACCGGTTTCTGCCTGCCTTCTGGGAGCAGAGAGAGGAGTTTGAAAAGGGCAATGCCTCTCAAAACCCAAGCTCTAGCGCCAAAGCCAGAAGTTGGGGGTTCGATTTCCCCCCCCCCGGGGGCCTCCTGGACAGAGGCTGGACGCAATGACCCACAGGGCCCCTGCAGTTCTAAGAGGATGATGCTTGTCATTTGCAGGTGGTCTGACGGCCGTCATCTATACGGATGCGCTGCAAACCCTAGTTATGGTGGTCGGAGCCATCATCTTGACAGTCACTGGTGAGAAATAGCATCCCCTTTCTTGCTCATATATATATAAATATATTTGAAGGTGTTTTCCAAGTTCTGCTACAGTTAACCAACCTGTATAGACAGAAGGCCATTCCTGTCACTTTTGACAGAATTTTGACAGATCATTCCTGTTGCCCCCACCTTGTCTTCTCCATCCCTCCCCCTTCCGCCTCCCTCCTTACCTGTCTGGGGCCTTCCTTCGGCTCTAGATTCTCCAGAGGCGGCCCCATAGAAAGTCCAGGGAATCATGCCGTTTCTCACGACTTTCTGCCTATTTACAGTTGGTTTTATTTTGTACACTTGTAAACAACGCCTTGGGACGCCGGGCCCAAGACGGCAAACCTCCACAGCAGCGGTTTACCCGTCTACGAATCTTTCGAACCGGAAGGCACACATGTAGCGGGATTTTAAACGAAGACAACAGCCGGACAGCAGATGATGCCCCATCTCTTAAAGGGCAAAGGGGATACTGGATTTAAATGCAATCCCAGTTTTTAACTAACCAGGAGAGGTTTGGGGCGGTAAATTTTCTGAAAATTTTCTTTTCTCAGAAATTTGCTAGTGCGAATGGCTTGAGCGGGTTCTTCCTTATACAGTACTGTATTCAAGTGCCTTTCCAGGTCTTTGGAGGTTAAATCCATTCCAAAGGCATCCAGTCTAAGGGTACATACATTCAAACCCACCAGATTGCTTCCTTTTTCTTTCCCACCTCAGCCAAAACTGCCCGCTTGGCCAAAAATTTGGAGTATGTTTACTCCCCTCACCTCAAAACAAAGGAGGAGGTCTCAAGCCTTTTGTAGCCCTAAGATTCGTGGTGGAAAGCGGGGGGGAGGGGGGAACTGGGACGCTGACACAAGGTTTTGCCTTCAGGGCAATATCCCAAAACAGTCTGAGCCACGCTTTTGTAAATTGTCAACCACTGAGGGCAGAAAACAAACATTATAGATCACCCATGATTAGAAGAGAGAAATCCTCGAGGGCTGATTGTGTGCTATTGTCACAGCAGGATTGTCTCTCACAAGATCTTGCAAAATCTGCTTGCTCTTTTTTGGGGCATTAGGTTTCAAGGTTGAAGTACAGGATTCCTCAGAAAGTATGCTTTCACAAAAACTAAAGTCTTCTAGAATAACCTTGCTCTACAACGTTGATGTACGTTTGGCTCTAATGACGAGTCATCCATAACGTCTGTTTCTGCTTTTGACCCGTCTGCTTTTAACGGATCGATTTCGGCTTTCTCCCCCACCCCAATCTCTCTCCCCCCCGGCCTTTTTCTTTAGCTTTCGACAAGATCGGGGGCTACCACAACTTAGAAGACGCCTACATGAAGGCGGTCCCATCGAAAACCATCCCCAATGCCTCTTGCCACTTGCCGAGGCTGGACGCCATGCACCTTTTCCGGGATCCCGTCTCTGGGGACCTGCCTTGGACCGGGATGACTTTGGGCCTCTCGGTGTTGGCCACGTGGTACTGGTGCACAGACCAGGTGAGGAAAAAGCCACAACGCTCTCCTTTCCCCACGGGGCTAAAGCACAACTGCAGGCAATGGGACCCCTTGCTGACGCTTTCTCTCTCTCTCTCTCTCTCTCTCGTTCTTTAAAAATATCCCAAACGCTAGAAGGGTGCCTCTTAAGGGGTCAAGGATCCTTATGGCTCATGGGTCCCTGAGGTTTCCGTTTCGAATCCGACCACTGGTTTACCTTGCTCTTTAGGTGTTTGGTCTGCGATAATTTAGAGAGAGGGATGCCGAGGGGCGTCTTCATATCTTCCGGTGCCCTCTGGCTTTCGTGGAATGGGGAGAGGGCCTGGCCGGCTGCTCTCGGTGGACCCCCTCTCCCCCCTTGGGGCGAACGGCCAGGCTGCGAGTTCTTAGGAGAGGTGAAGGTTTTGCTCTGCCAATACGCCTGGCCAGTTGGGCCCGGGGGCAGTTTTTTGACCCTGGTTCCGTCCCGGGGGTATTTGCTGTCTTCGGGGCCTTTCCCCGGCTGGCTTCCGCTTCGGCCTCTCTGGCCGGACCCTTGCACCCGGGTTCCGTAGCAGAACAGTGGCGAGCCCTGGTTGGAGGGGGGGGGGAGAAAAACAGTGATCAAAACCATTTGCACCCTTTTGTGTGTTGATCGGTTGAGTCCCCATCTCTGTGTCCTCCGTGTTCACACGGCTTTGGGATAGATCCCTGCCCCAGGGAGCTTACAGTCCAGGATTCAGCATGGTGTGGAGGACAGGGAAGGCAATGGAGATTGGGAGACTGGGGGAGAAAGTGGGCAGAGAATATATCTTAATTTCTGTGACATGGACTACTAAACTGTCCCATAGCAGCTTCGAGACTGATAGATTTTGTCCGGTGTCAGCTTTCATAGTCATCGGCCCCCAATGAAACCTGTTCGACTTAAAGGCACCATAGGGCTCCTGACCATGAGGCAGCCGTGATTCCTGGACAGACAGACGGATGGCTCGAAGCAGTGTTTGGGGCCCCAGATGGTTCTGGACTGCAACTCCCAGACGCCTTTGGGAGTTGTAGTCCAAGAACATCTGGGGACCCAAGCTTGAGAACCACTGTCTTAAAACAGTCCTTTCTGGGGCGTGATCAGAAATGTGCCTTTCCTTCCTTGGTTGGTTTTGCTGCACCGCAGACTTAACAAGGGTACTTTTCTGGAAAATCTAAGCTGCTTCTGCTTTGTTTTTGTGGGTATATATAAATATATACAGTGGTGCCTCGCATAGCGAGGTTAATCCGTTCCGGATTAACCTTCGCTATGCTGAAGCATCGCTGAACGGGGCAGGGATTTCCATTCCAAATGAGCCAAATACTCACCGTTCAGCGAAGCTTCAGGATGGCCGGCAGCCATTTTCGCGCCCTCGCCTCACTTAACGAGGGCACGAAAACGCTGCGCGCGGCCATTTTGGGCCATTTCCCGGCTTCCGGCGGCCATTTTGGCCGCCGAACAGCTGATCGGCGGGGTCGTTTTGCGAAGATCGGAACGCTTACCGGTCTTCGCAAAGCGAAATTTTCCCCATTTAAAAAACGTGCGATCGCATTAGCGATCCGAAAAAACGGATCGCTATGCAATTTCATCGTTATACGGTGCGCTCGTTAAGCGAGGCACCACTATATAATTATTCCACCAGGAAGGCTAAATTCTGAGTTTCTCCTCTGCTCTGCAGGCTCAGAATGCCTTTTTTATCTGGGGGGGGGGTGTCGGAGTTATAAGTCATGGTTGTCCACCAGAGAAGGCTGTTGGAACGGAGGGGCTCTTAGAGAACCCCGGCTCATCTCACGGGAAGTGGGAGATGATGAATCAGTCCGTGAATGAATAGTCTTGATCCCCTGCTGCACCGGTTCGCCCTGCCCCCCCCCCCCCAGAGGTTCGTGTGAAAACCTTTGAGCCCAAGAAGGCTTTTCCGTTTGTTGAAACAACACAGCAAAATAGCAAATATTTAGACAGCAGTGCAGAGTGGCTTGAGCACCACACCTGATCCACAAATAGGACGCGAAACAGAGAGAGCTTGGAAAAAGTCTGGGTATTGACTGCTAGCCGTTTTTCTGCTCCTTGGAACGGCTAGTAATAGAGGTGCGAATCTTATCCTGCTCTCTCTCTCTCTCTATCTCTCTCTCTCTGTGTGTGTGTGTTTTTACAGGCACATGCTTTTTCCACTGGCCCTCAACACCTTGTGAAATCATCCAAGCTCTTCCTTGAATGTTCAGTTTTGCATTCTAAAGGAAAGAAAGAAACCAAATTGTAGTGCTAATGCTCTTGTTTACAGAGATACTAAAAAATATATCTGCAGCCCACATTCTATTTGGTTGTGGTTGTTTTTTGTGTGTGTGTCAAGAAGATGGCAACTTGTACCCAGTCCCTGCTTAAGTCTGCAAAGCATCCTCTACTAGACTTGAATTCCCCACATCTCCCAGTCAGCCTAGTTACTGGCCGCGCTGGCTGGCCTGTTCTCCTGCCCCACTCCATCCTGTATGCAGGGCATATAAAAAAGGGCTTCCCTCACTCAAAGCAAAGGCCACTCTGGGTCAGCCGGTGGCTTGCTGCATCGGGAACCGGACGCTTCGTGGGCAACCCAGAAGCCCTTTGCTGTCAAGGCTAAGAAGCATCTGCAAAGACTTCTCCTCTTCCGGGGATGTCTTTGAGGGCCTGCCGATGCCCTCAGAGTGTGTCTGGACATGGTGGTCAGGGGTAGCGGGTAGAGTCTTGATTGCAGTGCTGCAGTTTAACCCCTGTGCCACTTCTCCAAATGGGTGAGCCATGCAGTTGACTGCAGGAATGCCAATCGGTATTGGCTCCCAGCCTTTTCCTGGCTACTCCTGCACCGCTAAAGGATTTTGGGGAGAGGAAGTGGCCCCGAATGGGCCACTTTCGTCTCCTGTGCCATCGAGGCGATGCCTGGGGAGTCAGGCTGTGCTTAAGCAGCTCCTGCGGGCCCGCGTTCTAAACAGGGTGCCTATGCATGCACAGAACAGCCCGAGCTTTGCAGACTACAACTCCCAGTATCCCCCAGCCCTCAGGTTTCTGGGAGTTGTAGTCTTAGAAAGTAATTGTTCCAAGGTCTCATCAGAAAAAAAGGCGATAAAACTCGACTCAAAGTTTTGTAGCCAGATGGGTTTTTTTTTTAAAAAACTCAAGCCTTCTCCATCTCGTTCCTACTCTCGGTCACTGTCAAAATCCTCCTGCACAGGTCATCGTCCAGCGGTCCCTGTCGGCGAAGAACCTCAGCCACGCCAAGGCGGGCTCCATCCTAGCCAGCTATCTGAAGATGCTGCCCATGGTTCTCATCATTATGCCGGGGATGATCAGCCGCATCTTATATCCGGGTAAGATCTCGCCAAGATTCCTGAGTGGAGAAATGTTGGACGGGCCAGATCCAAATTCTTTTGGAGTGCTTAAGAGGAGAGCTTAGATAAGTCAGTTTACCGGGGCTATAGCTCCCAGAATCTGCCACCCACCCGGCGTGGCCTGTGCCACGTACCCAGGGCCACGTGTTGCATGGTCTTGTACAGAACTGGCAATATCACTGAAATGGGACTTCTCAAGTGGTCGCCATCCGGATGGCAAGCCCGGCTGTGCAGAAAATGTTCTCAGAAATCCAGAGGGGGCATCTGGATCAGCCTGTTGCCCCAAAACACTGCAGGAGTCCTGTGACACCCTTAAAGACTGCCAGGTTTTATTAGGTGGAAGCTTTGGGGGACCGAAGGGCAATCCACTCCTCCGAAGAAGCGAGCTGCCGTGCACAACAGCAGAACGCCGACTCCCACTTGGTAGCCTTTCAGGTGTCACAAGACTCCGTGTCGGTCTGGAGTCCAGAAAGGAAGGCGTTTTGTTTTCCATGCATTAGGCTGGGAGAAAAGCGACGGACTGTGGTGTGAATCTCCATCCGCCGTGCTGGGCCACAGACTTACGAGGCCAGTTTGATCGGTTTGTGGTCCCGCATGAAAGGGAAGGCGTTGGGCTTGGCCGGGCGTCGGAGAGGCGATTTTAAAGAGGCCTCTGCGCTCTCCCGAGCCCGAGGGCTGCTTGGCGGAGGCATCTCAATCAGCTTTTTTCGTTCAGCTCCTTGCCAGCCTCCCAGAAACCAGTTTGGCCCAGTAAATGAGGACATGCTGGTTCAGGGGCTGGACGCTGCTGTGTCAGGACTTCAAAGGCAGCAGCTGCCGGCATGCCCAGTCTTGCCAACGTCAGCTGGCCCCCGGGCGGGCAGCGATGGGGACTCAGGAAGATGCTGTGAGCAGCTGAAATGGCCAAGGAAAGCTGAGGATTGTGGCCGGCTGCTGTTTTTCCCCTTCTGCTCTCTCTCCCTATATTGTCTGCAAACCTTGCAAATCTTCCTTTCTTAAGGGCACAGCCCACGGGAGCAGTACTTGGGCGAGAACCGCTCATTAAAAGGCCTGGGAGCTGAGCCGAAGAGTCTAGACAGAGGGCCCCTTCTGCCAGAAGGAAGCCACGCGTCCAGCATGGCACGAGGCTGCTCCCAGACTCTGGAACTCCCTGCCACTGGAGGCCAGGCTGGCTCCATCTTGGCGGTCTTTCCCTGAGTCCACCGGCTGCCCGGGTCGGGTGTTTTTAATGGATTGGTGGCGCCTTTGCTGCTTTGAATGTGTTTTTTGGTGTTCGTTTTCTTTTAGCATGGTATTGGTTTGTTTGTTTTTTTTTTGGTTAATATTTGTATAATTACTATTTTGAGCTTTTAAAATATTGTCTTTTGATGATGTAAGCTGCCTTGGGTCCTTTTTAAGGAGGAAAGAGCGGGGCAAAAATAAAAATAATAAATAAACTCAGGATTTTGCAGCAATCCGTAGGAGATTTGGTGGGGGGGAGGCAGAATTAAAAGCAGTTTGTTGTGCAGCATATAAATAGAGAGACAGTGGAGCGGAGTGGTTAAAGATTGAAGGCTTTAGAGGTCAAGCGTTCTGGTGAGGAAGAATTGACTCATGTTTCCAAAACATTCTATTTTTTTTAGGGAAAAAATTAGGGAAAAAACTTTTTTTCCGGGAATAAAATGGAAATTTCTGGAAATGTTACATCTCTGTGCTACCCTGAGTTTTTAGAAGGAAAGGTGGGAAAGTAATGCAAAATACAAAAATATTGCCATATTTGTGGCTTCAAGGGCTGGTGTGTTGTTGGTTAGCAAAACACGGGGGATTGATTAGGCAGGGTTGTGTTGTGTCTGTCTGCATCATACTCAAAACGTCAGATATTTGGCTTGACTTCATGTCCTTGATAATTACTTCTTACGCCCATGGAAGCTTTTCCTATTTTTCTAAACTCAGGGTGCCCCACCATGCACGGTTCAAATACATTTGGGAGGTGCTGCTCTCGAGCTGATATTCTCTGTTGAAAACAGAACTCTGGGCAGTTCACTTTTTTGAGGATGGTAATTCCCTGAATCCAACGGCCAAGGCAGAGAAACCGTCATCATAAAAAAGTTACCTGTTGCAAGTTCTGGTTGAAAAGGCCCTTTCATAGACCCGACTTTGGCTAATACGAAGTGTAATGCTCATTGCATATTTGATTATCATAGAATCTTAGAATCATGGAGTTGGAAGGGTCCCCCAAAGGTCATTGAGTCTGACCCCCTGCTCGAGGCAGGAATCCAAATCAAAACAGGTCTGACAGATGGGTGTCTTATTTCCTTCCCCCCCAAATGCCTCCAGCGTTGGAGCGCTCAACACCTCCCCTTGAGGTCATGGGTTCCACTGTCGTACTGCTCTAACAGTTAAGAAGTTTTTCCTGATATATTCAGCTGAAATCTGGCTTCCTGCGGCTTGAGCCCATGTTTACGTGTCTTGCTCTCTGGGATGACTGAGAACAGATCCTGCACCTCCTCTAATAGGACCACCTTTCGAGTCTTTGAAAAGTCCTGTCCTATCTCCTTTCAGTCTTCTTTTCTCCAGGCTATTCCCAGTGATTATTCTTAAATGACCCTTGACCCGCCGGTGTGTTTTTGTGCCGTATGACTGTTTGGAAAAGGTGTCATGCCACAGCCCAGCTCTGTTCTGTGGGGCCTTTGCCCCAGTTTTTCAAAGAGGACCAACCCTGCGCGGCGTTTGCTTTGCGGCCGCTGGACCGGCTGCAGTGTTTTGGAGAAACCAAACAAGACCAGCCGCAAAAGCCTGCCCCACTGAGCTCTCCATGCAGATCCCCTTGGGCCCGTCTGACGGGGCAGACTCAGTAAATCTCGGGCGGGAAGGGAAGGCGAGCCAGCCGAGGAGGCACCCCGACACGTGCGGGGACCAGCCCTTCTGAAATCCTCAAACCTCGGGAGAGTGGGAGAGGCATGGACAGGACGGCAGGAGTTGCCTTACACAAGGGGTGACGTAAACCCAGGCCCCCACAGAGACACGTCACCCCAAGTGCCGTGAAATCGAAGGAACAGAATTTAATAACAATCAGTTGCACTTTGGAGAAATTAAACGTCAGAGGTTAAATCCAGTTGAGCCGGTGTGTGTGTGTGTGTGTGTGTGTGTGTGTGTGTGTGTGTGTGCGTGCGTGAGTGCGTGCGTGCGTGCGTGTGTGTGTGTGTGTGTGTGTGTGTGTGTGTGTGTGCGCTCCCCTATGGAAGGGACTCAGGTGACTAGATCAATGGGACTTTGTTTATATTGGCCTTCCTCAACCTGGTACCCTCAAGATGGGTGGGGACTACTACGACTCCCACCATCCCCAGCCAGCTTAGCCAGTGGAGAGAGGGGACCTCCAGGGTGTGTGTGTGTGTGCCAGGTTGGGGAAGGGTTTCTTTTCTCATCCCAAGCCTGCCAGAGATCACTGAAGCAATGAAAGCCCAGGCTTTGAAGGGAAGGGCTCCTCTGGTCACCTGTGGCGAACAAGAAACCGCCTTCCAAGTGACCAGCAAAGTATTTCTAACTTTGTAACTACAACCATACAAAAACACAGGGGAGGGAGAGAGGGGTATGTTGTTCTTTCAGTCTGCCCTGTCAAAAATAATAATAATAATAATAAAAAAAAAAACACAACCAACCTCCAACGCATTAAGTCAGTCTGTACAGACAGACTGCTCTCATTTTTGTGGGCTGGGAAAGTTTTGAATGTGCTGATTTGCGAGCCTGGACTGATCTGCTACCCTGGAATCCTTTTGTTATATTTATCTCTGCCTTTATCTGAAGGGTGCCCGGGTTCAGGCGTGGCGCGGGCCACCCATCCGCCTGCCAGTCATTACCTCACAACCCACACTGGGGCGATGAATATATTCGGACAGGGAGGAGTCATTTGGAGAGAAGAATACGAGTCACGTGACACCTGCAATCGTCACCGTCGTATCACCTCTGGATCCACCCTAAGTCCTCATCCTCAGTTGCTGGAGAACCCTTTCAATATTTTTATAGACCAATAAAGAAAAAAGATTAAGCACAGAAGGATACAACAGATCACCCTACCTGTGGAGCATTGCTCGGACAGGTATTGTAGCCGTCGGGCAAGGCGTGCCGGTGATGGCCCCTTCCCAAAACTCGCCTCGCGTCCTCCCCGCCGTCGCCTTCCCGCCTCTTCTGCCGGGCCTCCTCCAGGGCCAAGCCGAGCGTGGGTTGCGGGCTGCCGAGGGGGCTTACGAAGGTCCCCCGGCTCATGTGGGGCTCGCTCAGCTTGCGTTGAAGGTGAGACCAGGGGGGAAGGCTGCCCGTCCCTCCGTTGACGAGGAAGTCCGAATTGGTCCTCCTCAGAAGCCCCGGGTGGGATCTCACCTCGAAGCACTCCTCCGAGACAGAAGAGGCGTCCGAGTGCCGGTGGCTGCGCTCGGCGGAGCTTCCGGAGCAGCTCTCTTGGTCGCTGACGGTCACGTAGTCCTCCTCTTCCTCGTCCTCTCCAGCTGCACCCCCTTGCACCCCGTTCACCGGGGTCACCTGAGACACAGCCGCCTGTCTGCTCAGCGCGCGCGAGTTCCCCGTCCCTGAAACCGGCTGGCTTCCTTCAGGGCTCACGTCGGCGTTTGCTCCGTCAGCCCCAGAGGGCTGGGCCGGGGTCACATCCTGCGGGGCACCTCCTTCCTCGGTCTGTGCGGTTTTCATGGAGATAAAGTCCGTCACAGGGACTGTCCGCGGTTTCGGGATTGGGGGAGCCACGCCGTGGTCCGTCCGGTCTTCCGGTTGTGCGTCGTGCGGCTGCTTTGAGGGTTGACCGTTGCTGGCCACAGTGGCGAAGCCGCCTCCATTGGCAGGGTGTCCGCAGGTCTGTTTGACAGGGTGGGCGACGAGGTTTGGAGAGGTCTCCTGGTTTGGGACTACTTTGGGGCAGGGCTTCTCCAGCTGGTGGGGAGAGGGGGTCAGGTTAGTGGGGCGGCCGTTGCTTCTCCTCCCTTCTTGCGCCTTCTGTTTGAGCTTCTGCCTGTGCTGAGCGCTGGCCTGCGAGACGTCGCACACCTTGATGCGATTCATTTGCGAGGGCTGGATGATCTTGACCTTCGGGTCGATGATGTTGATATACCCCAACACCTCGCTCCCGGGTTCCGGGTCGGGCTCGACCCAAGTGGGCAGGTAATCGAACATGTTGGCTTTCTCCAAGTTCAAGAGCCCCGGGTGGATCGGCGGCGCCGTCTCCGCTAGACCGCTCGGCCGCTCAGCGACATGGCCCTCCGGGCCGGCCTTGCCCTTGACCGCCGCCTTTGGCAGCTGGGTGGCTTTCTGCTCGCTGCCCTCTTTGCTGTGGACGATCTGCTCCACACTCTTGGCCTTGACCAGGGCGTACTTGGGGTTCACCATCCTCTTCATGACGGCTTGGTCTTGGTTGACGGGCGCCAGCGAGGGCAGAATCAGCGGTTCTGGTTCCGGCTCTTCGTCCATGGGGACGGAGCTCAGGCTGACCCCCCGAGACATGAGGTACAGCTCCTGGAACTGCTTGTCAAAGGCCTCGACCACCTGGCCCGAGAGGACCGTGATGACGTTGCGGTCCGTTCTGGCTGCCGACCAGGTGAAGCTGGAAGAGGGAACAACACAGGGATTACTTGGGGGGGGGAGTTGCGGGCAGCAAGAAGGGGCAAAGGGAGGCCGGACGACGGCCACACGCATGGTTTGGGCAGGGCCCCCTCTCCTCTGGCTGCTGGCTCACACTCCCCCACCCAGATTTAAAACCTGCCTCTTCTCTGCTGCTTAAAATAAATCACTGGGTTGAAACACAAGCAAAATGGAAGATCTAGCGAAGCCTGCAACAGCCCTGAAGGATTCAAGAGCATCCTGCCAATCAAGAAAGAAGAACTGCATGCAGATTCCTGCATTGGCTGGATTAATGTCTGCTACGGAAGTAATGCCAGCTTTTGAGTCACACAGAACTCTTTAGCAACTGGGAGTGTGTGTGTGTGTTTGTGTGTGTGTGTGAAAACCACTCATTCTCTGCTTCTCCAAGGCTAAGAAGACACACCTACCTGTAGGACCCGCACGTGGCTTTGTCGCCATCAACAAACATGAACTTCTGTGTTAAGGCGCCCTTGAACCTTGTGGCCGAGCGGGTGAAAAACTCCGTCCCTCCGGTCGTGCGCACACGGAGATTCTGCAAGGATGGAGCAAAGAGACAGAGGATCTGAACAGACGGCGTCTCCAGGACCAAAGGGGGAGGGAAGCGACAGATGGAAAGAGGATGGTTCTGTTGCCGATACTTCGGGCGCACTTTCGGTCCCCAGATGTTCTTGGACTACAACTCCCGGAAGCCTTCACCCCTTGCTGTGCCAGCCAGGATTTCTGGGAGTTGCAGTCCAGGAACATTTGGGGAGCCAAGGTTGGGAACGCCTGCTTTGGACTGTCTACGACAGGGACAAAACAGCTGCCCCCCTTCTCATATCTTTGGAACTACAGCTCCCAATAGTCCCAGTCTTCATGCCCAGTGATCGAGGACGATGGCAAGTGTAGTCCAAAACTCAGAAAGCTACCGGGTTGCCTGTTCTTGATCAAGGGCCGTCCAGTTGCTCATTTGCCTTGGCTTTAAGTTTTTTTTTCTTTTTCTTTTGCTATGCTGCTTTTATTTGTTTGGGTTTCTTTTGCTGATCGGAAACCCATGACTGGATGTTTTCCAACATTTCCTCTGTTTCTCAAACATACCAAAAATGTTTTGACTAGGGAAAATAAAATACCAAACACAAATGGAAGAGACTCCGCCAGACAGTCTGATGAAGACAGACGGGGCCGCAGAATTTTAACTGGTCCAGAAAAACCCATGGAGAGGCAGTTAGGAAAGAAGAGAAGGGACACAGAAGGGAGTATTATGGGACAGAGCACACCAAACTAACTGGAACAATGAATAGTTTATCCTTTTATTGCAAGTTTTGTTTGTAAATAAACTTAGTGTTGCCCATCAATTTCTTTTCTGTTTTGCTGGTATACTGAGATACATACGTTTGGCTCCAGCTTTTTCTAAAGCGGCCTCTTAAGCTTTTGAGAGAGAATGCCATCATGCCACGGAGGCGGCAAGAGAAGTGCAGAAAACAATCTTCTCTCTCTCTCTTTTTCCTTCCCGGAAGTGCAATCTGCAAAACTCACTTTGGGGTGTCATTATCCCCTTTTCCTGATACAGCAGCACTGAGCGAGCGGTTTCATTAAAACCAGATCTTTCTCGGAGTCTGGAAGAACCTGTTTCTTTCTTTCTCTCTCCAATTGTCTGGCCATTGTTTCCCTTTCGGGGGGGGCACCCTGTTTTCTTCTATTAAGGATCACCGAAAAGGGAGGTCTAGTTTCTCGGCATCAGTTTCAGGAGCGATAGGATCAGAGCCAGCGAATCTCAGTCCTGGCTCACCAGCAAATACATCCATGCCATTTGCCTTAAAAGACACAAACACGCACAACAGTGCAGAAACCTCCCGGGAATAATTTGGTGGAGACCCCTGGCTTTTGGCGTAGACCCGCAAACCTTCTCTGTGGGACATGTGCCTGGAGGGGTGTTATGGAGTAAAGAAAATGTAAAAGGATGGAGAGAATGGATGGAAGGATCAAGCTATCTTGGTGAATGGGGGAAGACTCAACTAAAGCAGTGGTCCGCAACCTTGGACCTCCAGATGCTCTTGGATTTCCACTCCCAGAAATCCTGGCCGGCAGAGGTGGTGGTGAGGGCTTCTGGGAGTTGTAGTCCAAGAACATCTGGAGGCCTAAGGTTGGGGACCACTGAACTAAAGAACAGGTTATTTGCTTTCCTCTAAGGCAGTGGTTCCCAACCTTGGGGTAATCCAGATGTTCCTGGACTACAACTCCCAGGGATCCTGGACAGCACAGCTAATGGCGAAGGCTTATGAGAGGTGTAGTCCAAGAACATCTGGATCACTCAAGGTTGGGAACTGCAGCTCTGGTGATACCTCCAACGGCTTTCTGATGATGGCTCTCTCTTCTGTCCCTTCTGCCACATCTGGGGGCTTTCCCCACAGCTTTCCAAGCCCCACAGGATGCTTTGGGAGGCCTCCCCGAGCAAACCTGGCTTAGATTTATATCCAGTCCTCAACAGCCAAGGGACTTGTCAGCCGAGGCACCCGTTGCCAGAACAGGCTTTTGGGGACCCGCCCAAGGCTGGAGGCAGGAATCGTGGGGAGAGGCGAAGGCGCTCTAATGCCAGCTTTTCCTGTCTTGCTCGTCCTTAGACGTGTTTCCCAGACAAATTCTATGTTTCCACTTCCAAACAGCCCGTGTAATTTTACCCGCCCTGGGCTTGAGGAGGGTGATGGATTTATGGATTGTACAGAGGCTGCTGCAGCCCTTCAGAACATGACGTTTTATAGTGGCTGGAGGGGTAACTGCAAAACTGTGAATGTGGAGAACTCGCCTTAATTGTTCTTTCCATACTCAAGACTCCTTAAAACCCTGATAGATTTTTGTTTTTTGTTTTTGCTGAAAGCGATGTTTTGAACAGGAGTGGCTGAAAGACAGGAGATAATATTGTTCGAAATAGATATGTTTTCTTCTCCTTCCACTCTGAGATAAAGACATGAATACCGTTGCCGAAAGCTGTCCTCAGCCGGCAGCAAAGTTTGAAAAGTGGCTGCACCTTCCAGAAGGAAACCTAAAGCCGAGCATTACGGCCCAGGATTGTCAAACTTTGGCTCCCAGATTTTCTGGTTCTGCAATTCCCAAGAATCCTGGGCAGCCCAGCCAATGGTGAAAAGGCGTCTGGGATTTGCAGTCCAAAAACCTCTGGGGACTCCAGTTTGAGAACTACTGTCCTAGACAGTCAGTCACGAAGGAAAAGCCTTTGTAAATTTGGGCTCAGCTGCATAAATTTAAGACTCAACTAGCATTTTGAACTAAGGCTGATAGCAAACGGGAAGCCGCACAGATGGCTCAAGGGCAGGCAAGATGGCATCTCCATAAAACACAGCCACGTTTTGCACTTGATGTAGCTTCCAGATGTTTTCTTCAAGGGCAGCCCCGTGTAAAGCACATTACAGTAGTCTAGAGGCAGCGAGGGCATGAAGCGCCGTGGCCAAATCTTGGAAGGCTGGCACACCCAGCAAAACCTTTGGGACAGCCCCACCAGTAAAATTCCTCTCTCTCTCTCTCTCTCTCTCCTCCATGCACCAGTCTTTTCTCAACGGATAAATCATCACCGTTGACTTAAGTGCTGTCACGGCCGCCGTCTGCCCGTTAATGGGTTTGGTGTGGCCTGTTGTGATGGCTCCTCTTTTGTCTAGGTGGATTAGCCTAAGGTGTGACTGACGGCAAAGGGAGGGCATCTCGCATCTCGTTTCGTTTATGAAGGACGGTCTCTCTCTCTCTCTCTCTCTCTCTGTCTCTCCCTTTCGTTTACGAAGGACGGTCTCTCTCTCTCTCTCTCCCAACCCAGTTCATTTTGGTGCCAAATGCCCGTTGGATCCAGTTCATTTTGGTGCCAAATGCCCGTTGGACGACATGTCCACCGCTTGACGGGGGGAGAGCCTGGCCCCGTGGGGAGATTTTTCTGGGTTGCTCGTCAATCTGTGGCCACCCCTGGATGGGAACTCAGAGAAAGCTAACCGGGGCGCCAACGCCCGGCTGAGCCAGGGAAGAAAAGCACACCCACCCACCGGCGTCATCCGCTGCAGCATAGCTTCCTCCTCCACTAAGTCAAATGTGTTTGTTTAATCTGGACATAGGAAGAAAAACAGACGGAAACATGAAAGATGGGTTGACCAGCCCAAGCATTAAGAGCATGTAAGGCAACCTCCTTTTTTCTTTCTTTCTTTCTTTCTGGCCCAAGCATTAAGAGCATAAGGCAACCTCCTTTTTTCTTTATTTCTTCCTTTCTTTTTCTTTTTTTGCAAAGGGCTGAATCATCCGACAAACGCTCCCCGAGTGCTGAGCCCACAGAGACTGCCTTTTTCCCCAAGCTGCCAGCTTGCGCTTTTTGCACAGGCCTGTCAGAACTTGCCCCAGTCATCACTGAGGGCTGGCGGCTTGGGTTTCCTTCCACTTTTAACAGGCAAAGAACTCAGGACGCGAAGCCTAGATAGAAGCCCGCCAAGTGCAGCGCTGCCAGATCAGATCAAAAATCCGTCTCGGTTGGCATCCTGGGGTCAAATTATGCATGACAGATTCCATGCAATTAGCCGCTGGAATGGCCTTAGCATTTTAAAAGGCGCTTCCGGCCAGCCTCTTCACCGGCACAGGCCTGCTTCCCAACAAAGCGTGTGATTAGCTCCCGATAACCAATCAGAAAGCAAAACAGGCTGATTTGATCAGGCCATGGTAATAGTTGGGAATGCCTTCTTCAAATTACGGGCTGCCTGTAATGTGTAATTTGACCCTGGTTCCCTTGGTGGCCGGCCGCTGCAAAGAATGTGATAGGATACATGCTTTGGGTTTGGGAGGCTGATACTCGATCCCCAGTATCACCAGGCAAGGTTTGACGCCTGCCTGAAACCCCAGGAAGCTATTGCTGCCAGCCTGAGTTCGAAATACTAAGCTAGGTGGACCCAGGACGTGGTTGCAGCAAGTAGCCGGCCACCAATCTCTCCCCTGAGTCTTACCCACTATACGACAGAGAGATGCATCAATAAGTTTTCTCTGCCAGATTTCCTCTAAACACGGTCCCCGTTACATATCCAGGGCTCTGTCCGTTCACAAGGGGAAATTCTCACTTCTGCAACAAAGCTTGAATAAAAAACTTTTTGGGGTGCTTTATTATTTCCCCCCCCCCAGAATGCGTCTTGGCCAGGAAGGCCCCGTACAGCATTTGTGAATTGCAGTCTCCCAAAGTAATTTTTATCAAGCTTTAATCTGAAGAACTGCACGGGTTTCGACTGCAAAATAAAAAGCAGTCGGATGGGCCTTTTGAAAAGAAGGCTTCTTTCCTTCCTGCCGGCTGAGGCTGGGCCAGAGGTCGGACGGTTTGCGAGCCGAAGGTTAAAGTACAATTGCAGGCTTAAAAATGAAACCGAGGCTCGCTTTCGCCTTTGGCCTGTCGTTATGTCAAACCTAACGAGGGTTAGGCTGAAGTGTAAGGCTCTGACTCTGATGGGGGCCCCTCCTTCGCCTCTCCTCTGGTGGCCAACGGCTAGCTGTGCTCCGTTCAAGCTTCCCTCCTCCTCTGCCTCCGTTTGCCTCGTCTGCAAAATGGGGACAGTAATTCTGGGCCTCTGGGCTGAAAAGAGCTCAGTGAAGTGGCAAAGCAACATTTCTGATTGGGTTTGTGGCTGCCGGATTAGAACCCTGAACTCTGCATTTTGCAGGTGGCGAAAAACGCGCTCCCCACCTCCGTCTGTACAATTTGCATAAATTATTTCAGATATGTTAATGGCAGGGCAGGGCAGGGAGGCACATGAGACGCTGATGTCTAATTGGTGGCTGCTGAGCATCTAATTTGAGGCTCCTGCCTGACTCTTAAGGTTTTGCGAGGCATGGATCCTATAGCGTCACATTCTTGAGGACTAGAAGCATGCGGCTGTGTTTTTGTTTTAAAATGAACATTGAGGTGCTGAGTGCACTGAATGCAGGGCTACAGTGCAGGTATTTAGGGCGCATCTGGTGGCATATGAAAAACTGATTAGCCTACCTTCCAAAGCTGTTACAAGGTTTGATTGGATAATATATCCAAAGTTCTTAATAAAGGATAAGCATGAATTCTGAGCATCTGGCCGGAGCTGATGCTTCAGATCCTGCCTTGGCACAAGCCCTGGACTTTCCTATCTTGCTACACGGAGGTAGTAAGCCCTACCGTCTTCTTGCAAGATGGACGCCACAGAATTTAGGGCAAAGTTGTGATCCATGCAAAGCTAGACGTTTGAGGCTCCTTTGTGTGCAGGATGCGACCTGGAAGAGACCAGGAGGGTCTCTCTCTCGGGGACCACCGGCCCCTTTTCTCCCGCTTTTTTCTTTTCATTTCCCACAAACGCAACGCGTGTCTCTTTGAGAGAGCAATGCGAGCTTTACCTTGAGGTGGCCGGTGTGCATTTGGGCCCGTTCGCACATCTGGAGGAAATATTTCAGATGGGACTCGTCCACAATGATGTAGATGGCCACTTTCCGCTTGAAGCCGGCTTCCAAGAGATCCTTGAAAATGTCCACGTCCGTAAACATGTCCATGACCACGGCGATCACCTGTGGAAGGAGAGGATCCGGCCGTTAGTTGTGGAAGTTCGAATCCGGCGGGTGTCGGACGATGCCGCATGACAGAATTACATGTATATCCTACCCTATTTCATGCGGTGAGTTCAAGGCCGGCCTGTTCTTTATACTTTATTGTCACGACAAACGTATCGAGTGGGTCACGTTAAGAGGGCAAACAGCCCGAGGTGGTCCCATGAGTTTTCTTGGCTGAGGGAGGACTCGAACCCAGACCTCCCTAAGTCTAATGCTCTAACCACTGGCTGTCCATAAATGAAACTGCGGAGGCTCTGAATATAACCCACTTTTCTTCCTAAGCGCTCAGGGCCTGGGTAAGGTGGGCTTCCCTCTGATTTTCGGCTTTTCTTATCAGTCCTAATGATTTGTTTGAAAAATGACCGAAAGTAAGGCCAGGAGTGTTTAAGGGAATTTACTTCTCTGTGGCCAGTTAACGACAACCGGCTACTGAAAGATAAAAGTAACGAGAAACAGAAAACCAGTTCCTTTTTTTAAAAAAGCGCTCAACGCTCTGCGTGCTACATGCCCCATGCTGTTACGAAAGCATTTCCAGTAAATCTGCAAAGTATTTGAATATACACAAATTGTGTTTGGCATGCCTTTGTGTATGTATGTGTGTGAGTGAGTGTGAGTGTGTAACGTGATGGTAATTAGGTGTTTCTCCTGGAACTTTGTAGTAAGAGATAGCCTGCTCTTGTACAAAGAGGCTCTGTTGAGTTATAAGCACAGAAGTACCCCCCTGAGCAGACCAAGAGCTGAGCTGGGGGGTGCCGTTCATTTTTGTCCCTTCCTTCTTCCATGAAGCTCAAGGTACCTGATGCTCTTCCTCCCCCCCCCCCCCCCCCGGTTTGATCCGCTCAACAACCCTATAAAGTAGGCTAGTCGGGAAGGGCAAGAGGATGGATTTAGTGCTCGGCCTCTGCTCGGGCTGGTTCCTGGCCTGATTTCCTGATTTGCGGCGTGGCGCTCCTCTGCGGGAGGCGCCCTAATTGGGCTTGGAGCACTCACACCTTTACGGCTTCGGCTCCTCACGTCTGCCCTTTCGGAAGCGTCCCATCGCCCTGATTAGACCCCGTCCGGAGCCTTTGATTCCGAGGTATCAAAGGTGCTGCATCGGCAGTTCGTTTATTAATTCTAGCCTTGCCGCCTCTCCGTGGGAGGGGAGGGGCGAGGCTGACCTACCTTTGGACAGATTGGGAAACTGAGGCATGCAAGCAAAGTGGCTTGTGTACACTGTCACGCCGAGCAGCTAAACACAGACGCCCGTCGTGAACGGTGCCAAGCCATTTGCCTCCCGGGGGGGGGGCATCGCAGCCCTTTAATCAGTCTGATTGTCATTAACAATAATTGAGGGCCTCCGTTTTGTCCTAAAGCTACCCAATGCACCACCCTAAAGATGTAACCAAGGTTGTCATCGGAGGTGTGCCATGGAGAAGAAGCCAGGTCAGTTTCCGGAGGCGATGGCCAGCTGCTGGCTACTTATATGACCACCAAGCGCTGTTGGGGGGGGTAAAACACCCAGATGCTGTCTGCACACATCTAGGTGACCGTTGTGGGAAAGACAAAGCTGTGCAGCCTTTGATTTGATCAGGGCTGGCTTTTCTTGTCGCTTAAAAAATGTCTTCCTGCCCACCTCGCCTGCAATTCTTTTCCTGCCTCCCTCTTTAAAGTCATCTTCATCATCATCTCGTATATCCCCCCAACACCCCTGCAAGGCAGAGCCAGCCGATTACAAGGGGCCACTCCTTTGATTTAAATTTCTGAATCTATATCTCATCATCATCATCTTGAGAGATAAAAGCCATGCACAATATCATATTCCAGAAAAGGAAGGCAGTAATAACACCACAAAGTGAAAACAACTGCTTAACACAATTTAATAGGCACACCCACAAATAACATCGCTGAGAATTATGTGCAGCCCCAGCCTAGTGAGCGAGACCCTTCCTCTGCAACTGGTCTCTTGCCCAAAGCCCACCTGATTTTTTTAAAAAAGATGAATTTTTGCCTATTGGTAAAAAGGAGGGCAAGCGGGAAGGGGCCAGTCTAGCTTCCCTTGGCAGGGAGTTCCACAGGCTCAGAGTAGCCACCAAGAAAGACGACTCGGGATCTCAAGCTGCCTCTCGTTCTAGTCCTGGCTCAAACCACTACACACGCCTAGATCTCCTTAGGTTTCAAAGGGCTGTTGGCTGGCTTTTAATGGGAAGGAAATGCTATGTATGTTTTTTTTTAAAAAAGAAGCAATTAATGATCAAATGTCTTCGGGTGGTTAGAAACAAGTTTTCGATGCTGATAAGAAGAGGGGGAGCTTGGCGGACCACCACCGGCCAGTGGGCCAAAGGACTGGCGTGGATCTCACAAGGACAGAAGCTCTGTGCTGTTTCCTTAATATAGATTTTAAGAAATGCTTTCCTACGAATGGATCTCATCCCTCGGAGTAGCCGAAACCGGTCTCTCCCGGGAGCAGATTCCAGCTCTCTCTTGCTTTCCCCCTCTTCCTTGTGTCCTCGCAAACCGGGCTGGGCACTCAGAGTATGCCGTCGGTCTGCATTTTTGGCTGGATTTGCTGTTTAGAAACAACGGAGCGCAGCTTTGCCTTAGATTCCTTCCAGGTCGTTTATGGGACATTTTGAAGAAAGAAGGAAAGGCAGAATGGTTCTCAACTTCCATTTCTTTCTTTCTTTCTTTCTTTCTTTCTTTCTTTCTTTCTTTCTTTCTTTCTTTCTTTCTTTCTTTCTTTCTTTCTTTCTTTCTTTCTTTCTTTCTTTCTTTCTTTCGTTCTTTCTTTCGTTCTTTCTTTCTTTCTTCCTTCCTTCCTTCCGTCCGTCCGTCCGTCCGTCCTTCCTTCCTTCCTTCCTTCCTTCCTTCCTTCCTTCCTTCCTTCCTTTGCCAAATCTGGGTCCCAAGGAAAAACAAGCACGTGAATTCTCCTCCTCTTTTCCCACAAGCTTCAAAGAGGTTTTTATTGCTGTGCATTGAAAAACAGACAATCAGATGGGAGAGATTACGGGCGGGAAAACCACAGATAGGAGCCAAATAAATGTCTCGTGGTTCTGCTTGTTTTCTTGGCCTTTTCCTTTCATCTCAGACCACACCACGCAAGGGTGCGCATGCACACCTGGCACCCTGTAATTACAGAACCATGATGTGCAAATTTATTTATTTCTCTTTGAGGGAGGCTGGAAGAAAACTAATTGATGATGCCAGAGAAAGAGAGAGAGAGGAACACAAACACACTGGAAGTCGAGAAGCCAAGCATCTGCCGGGATGCTGGCTTATTCGATGATTAAGCAGGAGTCCAGGATTTGTGCTTTTCAAACTCCTTTAGCTAATGAGAACTTCAAAGGCTGGGCTGGGCAGCGCCTTCCCATTTGTTTCTCATTTGGGGGTGTGGTGGTCAGATCCACTATGAGCAGCTGTGCTGGCTAGGGGATTATGGGTACTATAGTCGGGAAGGGGGGGGAAGAGAGAGAGAAAGAGTCCGGTTTCTCATTTCTGCTTAGAAACCGGTTCAGTGTCGGAAAAGCTGTCTAGTCCGGCATGTTGTTTCCTGCGTTCAGCCCCCAGATGTTGGGGGTGATGGGAGCTGTAGTCCGACACCTTGAGGGGGACATCAAGGCGGGAAAAGCCACCGGGCTGTTGGTTCTCTTCCTCGTCCTTTAGGGTTGCCAATGGGCACCTGTAAGATTGAGTGCGGCTTTCTCTACAGGGCTATTCAATCGGCTGGGGGTGTCGCTTTTCTCTGGCCTCTCCCCTCCTTCCCCCCCAAATGTTACTAGGGTGAATCCTTTGAGCAGGGTTGTAATTAACGGGGGGGGGGCTTTGTCCCAGGGGCCCCCAAATTTAGAGGGGCCTGGCACCGAAATCGAGCAATGCATGTCAGGAAAATAAAAACTGCGAGACCTCCCTATTGCTTGCCCTTCTTCCTCTCCCCGAACGTATACACTTTTTTGGGGGGGCTTGGAGACATCCAATTTCTCCTCTGGGGACTGAGTTGATGGCCAAACCCCAAGGAGAAATGGGGGTGGGGGGAACCTTCGGTGCCCTTTCTGGCAGGCGGCACCCCCACGGCTCATTCCGGCTTTTGGTCCCACCGGACTCATGGCTCGTGCTGAACAGAGCTTCTCCCGGGCAGGCAGGCAGAGCCGGAGATGAGCGGCTTCAAGGATGCTCCCTCGGGAAGAACTTTGCCCTGCTGCACGTCGGTCGGTCGGTCGGTCGTGGGGGTGTGCTTGCTCCTTTATGGTTCTTAGCTCAGCGGGGAGCTTGCGGCATCCGGCTGCGTCCAAGGTTCATCATCTCCCACATGGCGGGACTGTGTAGAATCCGCCCGAGAGGGGCAGAGTGTGGTTTCCGTGGAAGGAAGTGATCCGAGAATCTGGCTGGTGGAGTAGGCCTGGCCGACTGAGGACGAATGTGTGGTCTCGGCCCGTGACGGGATGAGTCGGTGGGTCGTCAGGGAGCATCACACCTCGCCCGAGGGGGAAAGATGACATCGGGAACCTGTAGGCACCCGGTTTCAGAGTTCCCCATCCATGCTGGCTGAGCGTTTTGGGAGAGGCAGTCCAACAGAGCCACCTTTCCTTCCTTAAGGAAAGGTTTAGGGACCTGATTCTTCCTAGCCTGGCTGGAAAACTCTACCCACCCTTTGTATTCATGCTTGCTTTCTGGCCTTTTATTTGGAAGGCAAATGGGCTTTTTTTCAGACTCATCTCCCGGAGGTTTCCTGCAGGTGAAACTCAAAATGTCTGCCCAACGCAGGCAAACGAGAACCTCTTTTACCTATTTGATACACGAGGTGAGTTTCAGGCTCCTCCGAACCAGGAGCACAACCTGCAATGGACGGCTTGGTCTCACCAGACTCGGTGACTATCATAAGGTCACCCGACCAGTCGCTGGCGGAGTCCGGATGCCTGGAGAACCAACAGCCGGCCATTCGGAGCCCGGATTTTTCTAACCTAGCAATGGGCAGGTGGTCCATTCCACTTTTTAACGAGACAGAACAAGGAGGATATCGAAGGGCCCGAGTGCAACCCTAGAATTAATCACAGGCAACTTGTCCCAAACCGGCTGCTGGCGCCTGCGTCTCGTTACGTTGCCCTCTTATTAGTAATATTATCCCATGCAGCTATTTAAATGTCCAGCGTAATCTGACAGTGGGTTGCGCAAACAAACGATAGAAATATGTTTCTTTCTAAGTTGACTTGAGCTCACATTTTGAACCGCTCGTAGCCCGGTCTGGCGTGAGCTGTTTCCCAGCCATCGCACAGTGTAGGGGAGATTCTGACCCAGCTGGGCCCTTTCAAAGGCACGGATCCTTGCTTGCCATCTCGACCGCACCCTCCGTTGGTTGCTTCCAAAAGCGAGCACAAGAGGTCCGTGGAAGTTCGTACTGCACAGTATCTGGAATTCCTTACGAAGATCACGCTGCAAGATTTAATTCGCGAGAGCCCCCTTTGTCTAAAGCAGGGCTTGAAAAGGAGGCCTGGACCCTCCTGCTCCTCTCCCCCCACTGTATGGTGCTCTGAGATATACTGCTCCTCAGCGTGGAGGTTCTGTTGTTAATCACGAGCTTTAGCAGCTGACCGACGGGCTCCTGTGGCTCATTTCTGTAAGCAGAGAAATCAGCTTTCTTCAGCTTGAATGTTTTCTAAAATGCATTGGACATCAAACTCTTAAAAACAGACTGGGGAGGTGGAATCCAGGTTGTTCATATTTTCAGTTCTAAGATGATGATGGCATGCAGGTATGAATCCGCTTTTGGTGCTGCTTGTGTGTCTGCTCCTTTAAACCCTTGATGGTTGCTTACACGGGTTGCCATTTCCTTCGTACCGAGCGGGGGGAGAAAATCTCCCCGGGTCCATTGTGACACCAGCTTTTGAAATGTCACCAAAATAGGTTTTGTTCTAACCGGGCCTGCGACCCATCCGCCGTAAGGTCTTCCGAAAAGCATCCGCGAGAGATGTCCCTCTGCCTTTTCACGCTCCCTGTTTTCAATCAAGAGCGATGAACGGATGGCGCAAGAGGAGGGAGCCAGGAGCCGAGGACGGATTCTGCTTTCGAAGTGTGGGATCACCTGTAAAGCCGGCGATGCAGGAACCATTCGTCGGTGGCTCTTCCCCATCAGAACCCCGGCCTGGCTGTAATGGTTATTTATGATTTACGCAGGCTTTTAATGAGTGGCTTTTATCCTGCTTGTTGTTTCGCCAGCCTGAGAAGTAGGTCGTGACTTGGTCCCATTTTACAGATGGGGAAACTCAGATTGCCAAAGCTGCCCTCAAGCCACTGAACCACACAGATGTGTTTTTTTTTTTCCTGCACCAGCTGCCTGCCAACGCTCTGAACGCTTGACCTGCTTGCCTCGACACATTTTTCTGAATGAAGCGGACAGGGTTGATTTTGAGCCATCTTCTTAAAATACGCTCTGACTGGCTGGAGAGAGAAAGAGAGACTTTTCTGCATGGCGGCGGCGTTGTTTAAATTTCAGCCACTTTTGCAACCTGGGCATGTTATCTCCACTCCTCCAGCCAGGAGGAGTGAAGCGACAAAGAAGAGGGTACCACGGTGCGCGTGAAGAGTGCCTTTCAGAAATGGAACAGGGACGGTTCTTGGGTTCAGACAAGCGATTTGTGTTTTTAAAACGGAGAATCAGATTTTGTTGCTTCGCCTGCTCCCAGGAGACTCTGGGTGGAAACTCACCATGCCACAACGCTCCCTAAGAGGCATGGAAGAAGCCTTTTCCTTCCCCTTACATCCCAAAGACAATATGATTTTTAAGGCGAGGTCCCTTCCCCCTTCATCCTCTCTTCTCTGCCTCCGTTTCTGACACCATTTTGCCAAGTGACACGGTGTGAAGACCTGGAGGGCCTGCCTGGGCTCTCACATCCCTTGAAAAACCAACAAGGGCCACCGTAATTCAAATTCAGGACTTGATAGCTCAGAACCACAGCAACAGCCAAAAAATGTGTTTTGCCACAGTATGGATAATACTGGGATATTTTCTCACGATCGCTCAAGTTTTGCCACTGAACCTTCGCATGCATGTGCCATTGTGGTGGATCCAGATCATACTCGGCCACCTTACGAGTAAGCGTGACCCCAAAAGCACTGAACCCGGAATGGAAGGGCCGTCGAGGAGAGGAAGGATGATGTTACATGGCATCTTTGGGGCTGTCTGACTTGGCTTTGGGACACATCGGTGTATGTAGAAACTGGGGAAATCGCGAATGCCTGTAAGGCAAGACGGTGGGGGGGAGAGTGGAGGCTGCTTCTCCTCTCTCTGCCCTTCCTTCGTGTCTCAAAGCCCGTGGCCATCAGTGGCCACCACCAGTAGCCAAGAAGAATATAACACAACGGGTGCAGGAGGAGCATAAGAGGCTACCTGGGCAGACCGGGTGTGTGTATGTCTGTTTTCTTTCCTAGCCTAGCCCTATTTGGCTGTTCTGTAATCAGTATCTTTTCCTAGCCCTATCTGGAGATTCTGCCTCATTTCCCCGGTCGTCTCCCCTCCCAGCACTAACCAGGCCTGACCCTGCTCAGCTTACAAAACCAGACAAGATCGGCATGTTCGGGGATGGTGTAGCAGCATATTGTAACGTAACACACACACACACACATATCATAAGAATTCACTTTCCACCTGGGGCTCCTATCACAGTGAACTGCCAGCTGTTCTAAGCAGCCAGCCAACACACCGTCCGGCCAACCGACTCTCCCTGATCACTCGGGGAGGCAGGATCCGTGCAGAAGAGCTTGCCTGCCGCTGAGTAGGAGACCAGCCATAAATAGGCAAGCGGTGAGCTCATCCCGGAGGAGACTAGACTTGTCTATGCCTCCTCCTCCGGGCAAAAGAGAAGATAGTGGGTTGATCCCGAGGTTGCCTATAGGATCATCCACCCACCCTTCTCCTCCCTTCCCTTCCCATAAAAAAATGGCCCAGATCACGACACCTTCTCTCACCTTCTGAGCCTGGCAGATCATCTTGCGGACCACCTCTTTGATGTGAGGCTGGTAGTCCATGGGGGGCTGCATGTAGACGGTGGCCCGGGTCACCCCGCGGTAGGCGATGGTCTCCGGCCAGCCCAAGTCCAGTTGAGGGATAGACCGGTCCGACTTCTCCGGCCAGTACGCCAACGAAGGCGCCGGTTCCTGTTCGCTGTTTTGGCTCTGGCGATCCACACCTTCGTCCCCCCGGGGAAAATACTCCGAGCCCGGGTCGTACGTTTCCAGGGAGTCCAAGATTTTCTTGAGCTCCGGCTCGGAAAGGAAGTCGCGGATGTTCTCCTTCTTGAGGACTTCGTAGAAAGCGTCCGGGCCTTTGGACACCAGGGCTTCCAAGGCCAGCCTCTGCTCTTCGCTGTAGAAAAACTCCGGCTTAGATTCGCTGGACCGCCAGTTCACGTGGCTGTTGTCCAGACACTGCACCTGGGAGAGGGCCATGCTTCCCGGCGTCCGTCAACAAAGAATAAATAAAGCAAGTGGACTATTTTAAAGAAATAAGTTAGGGTCAGGTTTCTCTGAGTGGGTCAATTCGCAGCTGGAAAAAAACCTTCTTTCTCAAGTCCCTGTGAATGGTTTCCCCTTTCCCCAGTTTTCCCCAAAAGGGACTTGACCCTTTGAGGTCTTTCAGTGACGAATCCGATCCTTCTGTTGGTTCATCATCTCATCTCAGTTGGATGAAAAGCACCGGGTGGGGGGGGAGAGATTTGTCCAGTCTTCTCTCAAACCCCAAACTCTTGGAAAATGGCTAAAAAACAAGACACAACCACCGTCAAAACACCCTCGCCCTCCGTTTCAACTATGTCGAAATCCTGTTTTTCTTCCGTCCTTTCCCACAACAAGCTTCTGTGTTCTTCACCTCTTTTCCTTTCCTTTCCAATTCCCCATGTGAACACTTGACAAAGAAGGTGACGAAACTCCTCCGGCATTAAGTAAATAGCAGCTGCCGGGGCAGAGTTCTCTTGGCTGTTCAGCCGGGATCTGACCCTCTCTTGTCTTGGATCCACAACTTCTCTGGACAGGAGAGGAAAGGAGGGCAGGTTTGAAGGCTTGCCCGGCTGCCTCGGTGATCTGGTGGGCCTTCTGGCTCAGGGTTTCCGCTCTGGAGGGCTTTTGCCGGCCGGCCAGCTGGAGCCCGGCAGGTTCTCCGCCTGGAATGAACTCATCCGGTTGCAAGCCGGGGAAAGAGGCGCATGAACAGGAGAAGGACCTGAGTAATCCACTGCTCCTCCCGGCCCGACCTGCCGTCACACGCCCTCGGCCCGCCTTCCCGGGCTCCTTGTTGCTGCTTGTCCCATTAACCCCTTCGCTGAGCCACACACCGGCTGTTTCATGCTGCTTCCCCGGGGAAGGCAGGAAGCGCATGATTCACCCAGCTGGGCATGGGAAGAAGGCGCTGTGTGCTCTCTTCCGCATCAGGCCAGGGAGGGAAAGGAGGAGGCAGGCAAGCTGGGAAGCCGGCTGTGGCTGAGGGTGATGATGACCACGTTCAACAAAGCGCCTGCCTGCCTGCAAGGTGGCCTTTGGCTTGGGAGTGGACCTCCAATACCTGTCTCCTTCTCTCCGGCGCTCCTCGTAGCCTTTTGAAGCAAGCGCAGGGCTGTTTGATGTGGGAAACCTCCCTTGGTCAAGGGGGTGTCTCTTGTGCTGATGTCTCTGGAGGCAGCCTCCCCCTTCTGTTCCAAAACGTTTGCTCCTTACCTGGGGTGGGGTTTTGAGGAGGAAAGTGCAAAGCAAGCCTGTCTTCTTTCTTCCCTGTCTCGGTCTGGAGCTGAGCCTTTTGCAGGCCATCCAGAGCGAAGTTTGCCGTTAAAAAGTTCCCTTTGCTCCACTACATTCCCCCGAAATGCCCCACGCAGCGCCTTCCGGGGTGCCCATCTGGATCCTCTTTTTCGTGGTCATTCCCATCGGCCTTTTTTTGGCTCGGCCTCAAGGTGATCAACGCCACTTTCGCGGAAACCTTGGCGTCCGCCAGAAGCGGAGGCTGCTGGTGTTGCAGGTTTTGGCTGCCAGAAATTGATCGATTTAGCACATTTTTACCCTCCTCTTCTCCTTAAAAAGGGCCCAAGGCAGATTGTATCATGAAAAGGACCCATGTTTGAACGCTAAAAAACAATAAGTATACAAATATTTAAAAAGAATTAAACACATTGTATTAAAAATGGTAAACAAAAGCAATACCAAAACACATTCAAAGCAGTAAAGGAGTTCCAAAGTCCTGGAGCAACCACAGAGAAGGCCCTCTCCTGTGTTCCCACCAAGCATGCTTATGAGGGTGGTGGGATCGAGAGAAAGGCCTCCCTGGATGATCTTGACACCCGGGCAGGTTCATAAAGGGAGGGATGGTCTCTCCTTTTTTTTTGAGAAATGATGCGAAACATGGACTCGGAACCCTTACTGGGAATCTGGATCATTCTCTTATTTTAAACCTCCCCCCTTCTCCCTTTGTCTCGGTTTCAGATGACGTGGGCTGCGTGGACCCCAAAGAATGCGCCCGGGTCTGTGGGGCTGAAGTGGGCTGCTCAAACATTGCCTACCCGAAACTGGTGATCGAACTCATGCCCAGCGGTAAGCGGGCAAGGATACTCTTGACGTAGACCAGGGAGCCCAAGACTCCGCACTCCCTACTGGCCAGTCTTAGACTTTAGAAGAGTTGGCCTGTGCCCTATGCTGTGACCCCCCCTCCCCAATTTTAACCCTCCCAAAAAATGCCTTCTAGTAGCCAAGAAATTTTTTTCCAGTGGTTGCAAAGAGAGATTCTCGATGCACTCAGTTCCCATCGAAACATGGCAGAATTCCCCTCCTTCACTTTCTCAAGGGTACAAAGGGACTTTTTGAGTATTTCCCCATTTTTAATAATTTTTTTCTGCATGCTCGGGGAAGGAGGAGCCCTATGGTTGCGACCCAGCCTAAATGGATCCTTTCCCTCCAGCAGTCCACTTGTTTCCACTTTCCCCATTTTTAATTCCTTTAATGGGCCGGTGTGAAATCCAGAAACAAAGCCGTCTGGATTTACCTGGGTGTTTGCTGAGAGCATTCTCATTTTCCTTCTAAACGAGGAACCCCCGAGGGTTCCTAGCGGGAGGGGGTTGACACAACCGTCTCTTTGTACAAGTGGGGGTTGCGGGGGGGGGATCTTGTATTGCCAAATTTCCCACTGCCTTCATTTCTAAAAGGGGAAATAAGAGCAGTGTCAGTTGGAGCTTGAGTGCTGTGTAGAGATGGGCACGGAATCCTGGTTCGGCGCATTCGCGTCAGTTTGTCCTTTGGACGAACGGGTGTTTGGCGCTTCACAGCTCCGCCTTCTCTGGTAGGCACCCAATCAGAGGCAGCATCTGGAGGAGGCGGGGCTGAACACCCTGTTTGTCCGAGAGACGAACGGGCGTGAACTTCCGAAAAAGCAATTCGTGAGATCAAGAATCAAACGACTTGAACGCTGGATGGGACCCGATGGGCGCCTTCTTCTGCTGGCCTGGATGGGTCCAGGTGAGGCTTCACGGAGTCCCTTCGAGGTGTGGCAGGTTATTTGGGGCGGTCTTGCCGTCCATGTGCAAAGATCGACCACGCTGGACCCCAAGGAAGCCTAGAGTGATCTTCTTTCCCTTTAAAGGGAAAGAAGAACAAAACACGGTCCCCCCCCCCATATCTTCCTCCTTTCCTCCTGCGTGCGGAGTTTTTGTGGGAAGAAAAGCACACGAAGCCCTTTGGTCCCCCCAAAATGACTGGGCTTCTCTGGTTTCGCCCCTCTCCAGGCCTGAGGGGGTTAATGATTGCGGTCATGATGGCCGCCCTGATGTCTTCGCTGACCTCCATCTTCAACAGCAGCAGCGCCCTCTTCACCATGGACATCTGGGGGAAGATCCGGCGGGACCCCCCTGAGAAGGAACTGCTTCTCGTTGGAAGGTACCTGGCTTGGCTCTTGGATGTGTCCAGCAGGACCCACCCCATGACAAAATAATTGGGGGAGAGAGGGGGGGGAAAAGGGGGTTTAGCTGCCTTTCCTGGGAATCTTCAGGAGGGGCGATGCGTTTTTGAAAAACACAGTCCAGTCCCTTCTCCGGGTACCCTTTTTAAAAATGAAGTTTTATCCAAGCATGCAGTCCTGTGATTTGGTTCCTCTTCTTGGAGGGTGGAGTTTGTTTCTTGAGGTTTAATGAGGTTTCTGCTCTCCCCTGAATGAAGAAGGTGGGATTGGCCCCTAGATCTAAGAGTTTGACCACCCCAAAACAGCATGATCTGCACCTGAGAAGAGAGGGGAGGGGCGTAGGACCACTTATGGTTTTTTGCAGAAATTCTGGTAGGGAAAAACCGAAAAGAGACCCTTAGACCAAAGAGGTCCAGGTGTGTGCAGGGATTTGTAATAAAGAGATGGGGAGAGTAAAGTGTACAAGAACGTGGGGGGGGGGGAAGGAAGCTCTCTCTTATTCAGGGTGTTCCCAAGGCTGTGCAGAAAAGTATTGCACCTCCTCCATCGTCCTCAAATAAGACAATTTATTTGGAGAAAAGTCATGTATCAGGAACCGAACGAGCAGAGAACAAAGCTGGCCTTTAAGAGGCTTCTGCTGTGGGAGCCTCTCTGTTATCGTGTCCCTTGGCAGCCTGCTTATCTCCCAGCGCCGCACGGCCCAATCTGCTCTTTCTCCCACTGTCAACACAATGGCTTCATAACTTTTTTCCCCCAGCAAGGCATGAGAAGAACTTCCTTTTGTTTAATCTCTTTTCCCCCCTTCCTATCTCCTGAATCATTTCCCCTTTTCCCAGGGCCTCAGTGGATCTGTCTGTATAATGGGCCTAATGGGATTTTCCTCCTCCTGCTTCCAAGCAGCTCCTGATCTTGACTAACAGGCCGTCATGGGATGGTTATGGGGAGGTGGGAGAGCTAAGGAGGGAGCACCCTGAGTGGCCCACAGAGGCTGTCCTGCAGAGGAGGGGCAGGATCTGTTCTTGGTCCTCTCAGAGTGCAGGACACGCAACAAATGGACTCAAGCAACAGGAAGCCAAATATAGGCTGAATAAATCAGGAAAAACTTCCTAACTGTTTGAGCAGTACGACAATGGGACCCATGACCTCAAGGGGAAGTGGGGAGCACTCTAACGGTGGAGGCCTTCAAGGGAAAACGGGACCACCCTCTGTCGGATCTGCTTGGATTTGGATTCCTGCCTTGAGCAGGGCGGGTTGGACTGGATGGCCTTAGAGGCCCCCTTCCAGCTCCATGATTCGATGATTTTATAAGACCGTTCTGCTTTGCAGGGCTGTTGAAATGGACTATGGAGATGATGACATGAAACACTTTTGAGGAGTTGAAAATGTACAGTACATTAGCAGTGTTACCAGGATTAATTTACTTCCTTCAAACAGGGAAGAAAGTTGGCTTGCAAGTTAATGGCCAATGAACTCTTCCAATCTGTACTGGCCAGGCACAAACATTCGCCGGAACAAGTCTCTCCCTTTCTTCGCATCAGTTGTGCTAATGATGCACATTCCTAGACTGGTCTTTCCCCGTGTAAAGCTTCTGCGATGTCACAGCAGGCCAGCCAGTGGCTCGGTGCTGTTGGCCTCCTGACTTTCCAACCCTGACAAAAAGTTTCCGCCTCTTCGCCCAAAGGTGATGGGCCCTGGCGAAGGATCAAACGATCCTGCCTTTTCATCCATAGTTGCGGGGGGGGGGGACTCGACCTTCCTGGTTCCACCCGGGCCAAGCCTGGATGGTATTTCGCAAGGCGTGGTGCACTTGTCTTAATTGTTTCCTTCTGCTGTCAATTTGGCAAGAGTCCTTTTGCTTCTAATGTGGGAGGCCAGGAGAGAGGATCGGGGCCTGGGAACTGCGTTGTGTCTTGGCAAAAGCAGGAAAAGCAGATCAAGCATCCTCTCCCTGCTCCCACTTGGGGGGCTTTGCCCTGTTTCCTTGGGCTATAAACCCAGACTTTGGGGGTTCGGTGGTTTCCTTTGCCTTTCGCAACCTAAGTTAGAAGACACTTTCCTTTCCCAGCCTCATCTCTACCTGCCGTACCTCGGTTTGCCCATCTGGCAAACATTTGCCCTGTTTTGAGGCGGGATCGGCAGGCCAAAAACACTTTCTTTTCCCAGCCTCATCTCTACCTGTCGTACCTCGGTTTGCCCATCTGGGAAAGAGGGCGGCTCCTGTTTTGAGGCGGGATCGGCAGGCCAAACTTTAATTGAGGCCCCCCTTCCCCTTGGGTCAAAGCAGAGCTGTGAATTATCCCCGACTGTTGGAGAGGTCTGTTTATTTACACAAGATTGCTTCTTCCTTGACTCGTGAGCCAAAGACTCCTCGAGGGAGTGACAGCAAAGGACGAGCCGTAAATCACAATCCCATAATGACCTGTGTTTTACAAGACAGACGTTGTAATCCTGCTAGCAAAGTGAAATATAACATGACAGGTAACATGGACTCCTTTGCTCTGTGCATTTTTACATTCCTGCCGGCAGCAGCTGCATGCCAGCGTTTGGGTAAGGTAAAGTTTCGGTAACTTTTTGGAGAAACTTCAGAGCCCCAGTTCTCTCTTTAAGAAGCCCTGCTTAAATCCAGAATTCAGAGCAAGGGGGAACTTCGCTTTTTTGACTGCCAAGAAGGTGGCTGTACTGGTCTCCCAACACAAAACGGTCCTTGGGTGGTAGCGTGGCAAAATTCCCTGCGAAAGACAGGAACGTTGGGAAAAGTTGAAGGCAGCAGGAGGAGAGGAAAGACCGAATGTGAGATGGATGGACTCATGATGGTAGTTTGCAAGAGCTGTCAAGGACGGAACCTTTTGGAGAGCCGACCGCTGAGAGCAACCCAGACACGCTTGTATGAATGAGGCGTGTGACCTGCGTAGAACCATTCAAAGCCCTTGTCTCTCTTCCGCCCACAGCAGATAGATCTGAACCTCGTCTAGACAAAGGGTGGCTGAATCATTTCAGGTGAAAAAAAAAATCTGACTTTGGAGGTTCCGTGGTTCAAGAAGGGCCACCCTGGGGAGGGGTGTGTGGCTGAAACGGAGGACTGAAACGCCCCCCTCGCTGGCTGCGTAGTCAGGTTTATGCCGGGTGATGCTTCTGCCGACGGTCAAATCTTTCGCCATCTTTATCCTCCTTTGGGATGAATAATGCGGGAGGCGGCTAACGCAGGCACGCAACAGATTACGGTGGATTTGAACAGGGACAAAAGCAAAAGCGCTCACACACCTCTTGGAAACACACCCGAAGTCTTTCCCGTGTAAGGTGTTTGCCGGCTTCTTCCTTCCCGTGAGCCTCTCGTTCCTTCCCTTCTGCCGTCATCATCTGTCTGGCCCGTGTCACCCTCCTCACCTCTTTCCTCTTGGGGGCCGGAGATCGGTTGCGTCACGGGCCGGGCCATGAAAGGAGAGAGAGAGACAGAGAGATGGGGAGGGAGTGACACACCGGGAAAGACCCGGCGCAGATGAATGGGTGACTCATGCCCAGGGCCTGATCCGTGGCTGGGAAGCAAAGGGAAGAAAGGGTGTCAAGCCAGGGCCGGTCTCGTCGAGAGACAGGATGGCGCAGCCGGTTTGGGGTTCCAATGAGCAGGAGTAAAACCTCGTTTGGGTTCTTGAGCTCCTGCTAGAAAGGGTTCCCTGGGGTTTGGTGGCGCGAGGCAGGCTTTGGCAGCCGATTGGCATAAATCCTGTCTGCTCAGTGAACACCGGGCATCCTGTAAGGTTCTCCTGGGTGCACCACCACCCCACGCTCAGATGATCAGGACGTGCCGTGCAAGGGCCTGTCCACAAAGTGACCAATGGCTAATAGCCGCAGGGGCTGCTGACGGCCAGTATATTTCTGGAGAGCATTTGCTGGGGAAAGGCAGGCAGGCAAAGGGAATACTCTGTTCTCGCTTGTAAAAGTTTGCAGAAGAATTGGACTGGCTATGGGATTCTGGGACCTATTGTCTAAAAAGTAAGACAGTCATACATTTTTCACCTTTCAATGAGCACCACTTCTAAATATGGAATCAGAACATCCCATGGCCATGGTTTGATTTCTTTAACAGTCCTCCCCCATTCCAATTTTCCTAGTCTTTGACTAAAATAGGCTGTTGAGTAGCAGCTTTTTCAGGGCGGGCTAAGCTGGTCCCTGTGCTTGGCTCTGAATGGTTGGTGGTACCAAGGCAGGGACGTATGCCTGATTTGTGACTTACCATCTTCACTGTCCTGACACTGATGTTGCTCTGGTGGTGCAGCCACAGAGGAGTGGTGGAAAACAGAGTGTGACCCGAGATGTTATGCCACCTGAGGCAAAGAGGAAGACGGCACCTCCTCACATTCCAGGGATAAAAACCATCTGGATCATTAGCGGACTTCTGCTTCAACACAGGTGAAGCGATGGGATGTCCCATTACCCCTGGAAGGCAGCAGCCTAGGAAGTGGGGCCGATTGCATGCCCCACAGCTCCTTTCTGTGGTACATGACAGCATCCTCCTCACACCTACCAAAGGGCCTCACTAGATAATTATTTTTTTCTGATTCCATATCTAGAAGGAGTGCTCCTTCAATGGTGGAAAATGTGTGATTGTGAAAACCCGTTTATGGCGGAAATATGATTGTCTCTGGGATAATATAAAGAGCACCTCCCTCAGCTGACCCGAAAACATCTTGTGCCCGCTGTGTGATGCAAGGTCTTTTGCCACCCTCACCCTCCGAAACTCGAGATACTTAAGGATGGAGACGTAACCGTTAAAGCAGGATCAGCTCTCCATAACTTGTAAATAAACCTTGAGGATCGTTTCATCCTGTTTTCTCTTTGCGTTCTCTCTCTCTCTCTCTCTCCAGTGATCCAGGCTAAACTGCCAGGGCAACTTGGCCGGCCTGTTTGTCTCCCGAAACGTACGGGGATTCTTTATTTAATTAAGCAACTGGCGTTGGGCCTCAGGAGTCAATAAATGCTTATCAAAAAAACATGCCACAACCTGTTTTCCTCTCCGCCCTGATACGGAGTTGTAAAAAGCTGGCTTCCAGGGGGACGGCGTTTGCTCTTCCTGCTTTCAAGGCTAGATTTTCCGGGGTCCTTTAAATGCACACTTGGCCGTGGCCGGTTGTGTAAGGTGGGGCGTTGAGTGAGCCCCTCCCACGCCACCCTGTTTAACTTTATCATGGCATCCAAGCCTCCCTTTTGCTTTTTTTCCCCTGCCCCCCCCACCCAGCCTGGCTTTGTGGGGGGCGGGCCTTGCATCGTGCTCAGTTTTTGACCCACCGGACTCTGCCCTAAACTTTATATCCCCTTTACCGTGTGAACCGTTTTGGAGAACCTGAAAGCAGATCCCTTTTGTAACTGGTTAATAAAACAGCGAAGGCATTGCTCAACCGTGGTCTTAATTCCTCCCCATTTGCATGCAAAGTATTGATTAAACGAGACTCGGAGCTTAGAAGCAAGACGGGAGAAGTTGGCCGGATGGTAGTGTATCGTTCTGGGGCGATGGTTATTAATGGGGTGAGGCTTCTCGGCAAGGAGGGAGCAACGGAGTTGCATTTCAGAAGTAGCGCCTTGAGGAGGATGAATGGTACTTCCTTGGTGTGTAGCAAGCAGCATGTTCTTGTTGCTTTCAAAAGTTACTTTTTGAAAGGTATTTAAAGGTCTTTTGGAGACCTTTTTTTTTTAAAAGAATTTCCCCGGTTTTATATCCTTCTCTTAGCAAGCTTCCTTTTCAAAAGGCAACCGGTGGTCCTAACTGGTTATTTTTCAGGTTCTGTAATGAGCAACAGGGGAGCAAAAGGACTTTAAAACGCAACTTTTTCAAACCCTGATTGGAGAGCAGTAAGATTGAAAATAGCCTTGCTCTTGCAGGATTGTCACGGTTGTCCTGGTGGCCGTCAGTGTGGTTTGGATTCCCATCCTCCAGAACTCCAACAGCGGGCAACTTTACATCTACATCCAGTCCGTGACCAGCTACTTGGCTCCGCCGGTCACAGCGGTCTTCCTGCTGGCTGTTTTCTGGACTCGAGCCAACGAACAGGTAAATTCAGGTTCGGGGACTTACATTTGGTGTTTAGCTTAAAGCAAACATTCAGGGAGACCTATATTTCCTGCTCTTAACAACAGTTTTTCCTCCAGTGACACAATCACTTTCATTGTTCGTTAAGTGTGCCAGCAGGCAGACCTTAAAAGAAAGTCCCCATTTACCTTCCTGAGATTAACCACACTTCTCCTTTCAATGTGCTTTTACAATCAGATGCCTTTTGCCACTTGAGAGAGCACTGTGTCTAGATACGGGATTGGTGTCTTGTTTCATTTTGGCCTGGCTCTCCTGCATTACCCCAGGCCTGACAAGTGTACAAATGGCTTAACAGCACTTAGCGAAATAATTTGAGGATCCCCTCCCTATGACCTGCCTTGCCATCTTTCAGCTCATGTTTCCATCTGCAGGGAGCGTTCTGGGGTTTAATGGTGGGGCTAGTTGTTGGACTGAGCCGCCTGGCCTTGGAGTTTGCACACCCAGCGCCCAGCTGCGGCACCGCGGACAGACGACCTTCCCTGGTGAAGGATATCCATTATCTCCACTTTGCCATCCTCCTTTGCCTTCTGACCGTCTTGGTGGTCGTTGGCATCAGCTTGTTGACCAGACCTCCAGACGAATCCCAGGTAAGTCAAGAAGAAACTGCAGGTGAGCCTTTTAGACAGAACACCTTGAGGCTGGCAGAAGAGAGCTCAGAAGAAGCCATCGACCTGCATGTGCGCGCTGGGCATGATGCGCAAAACAGCTGACGCATCCCGTTTACAGCTTTAATAGCTTGCTTGAGCTCATCAAAAGCAAACCCAGAAAATGGGTTTCTGCACGATTCCAGAAATGCGGTCATTTTATAGTTTCTGGCAGCAGTGAATTACTTCCTGATGGTTAAAGGCAGAAGGCGTTCCATGTAGGCGGATGATGGCCCAACAGACGGGCAAGTGGGCTTGTGGGTCTCAGCCACACCTAACCTTTCTAGGTCATTGTGGGCTTGACGTGTGAAATGCTACTCTCAGGTCTGTTTACTCCATCGTGGCAGAAGTTAATTCGGTTAATGCAATTTAAGAAACTTAAGTAAAGTTAATTTTAAATTGTTGGGTGTTCAAACACCGGCTCTCTGTGTGGATGCCACATTTGGGGGCTTCAAGATATCAAGCAGATCAAAACAATAGCCAAATCCTTTTATTGTCCCTTTTCTTTATCTTTGAATGGGTTTCTTGATGGGCTATTTCCACCCCTGTAAGTGTCAGGTGTCCTTGTGAGTCACTGCAAGTTGTGTTGCATTTCTGGTGGCCGGCTAAGACACATAGCAAGGAATGCAAGTGGTGACTGGTTAATTAACAATAATGGGCCCCTGGTATTGACACCTTTGCACTTAATGCCACAATAAGCAATCACCTGCAATGCTGGCCAATGAAGGCTTTTATTTTTACCTTGTTGTAAACATATGTGAGTGTTTCCCTGTTGTCGTTGTGTGCCGTCAAGTCAGAGCTGACCTACAACGGCCCTAATTGGGCTTTCAAAGTATGTGAGATATTTAAGGAGTGGCTTTTCCGGTTCTACGCCCACGGGATTCGAACGCAGGCCTCCTGAGTCCTAGTCCGCCACTCTGCCCGCTACACCATGCTGACTATCCATTCTCCTGTCTGCTCCCCTCTACTAGGAAAATAATATGAGATCTTTTTATTCAAACACCCTTCCCTCATCTCTGAATGATGAGAGGGACACACTCTTTCCTCCAGATTCTCTACATGTGGGGAGTGAGTTCGAGGGAAGGACTGGTCCAAAGTCTACTCAGTCAGCTTCCTTGCGTTGCGTGCGTGCTGGTGGGATTCGAACCCGGGCCTCCTCTCTCTTAATTTTTTTTGTCCTGTGTTTGTTCCAAAAGAGCTCTCCCTCGCCTCGCCTCCCACCTCCACAAAACCTCCCTGCATTTAAAAAAAATCATTTTGAAGGCACTGGGACTGGAAAAACATTAAAAGCCCACAAATAATTGTTCTCTCGGAAATGAAACTCTCTCCCCCCCCCCCACCTTTGGGTGCAGCAACTTTTGTTTTCAGGGGCTGTCTCTGGGATGAAGGTGGCAGAGGCGTGGAAGAACCCCGTTTAATCCTTGTTCCTGTTTATTTTACCAAGCAAAAGAAATGGCTAGCTTTTATTTACAACAAGGAAGGTTTCCTGGTTGACTTGCTGGCCGTTTCTCTACCTTCAAAAGATTTTTCCCCTCCTTCTATTTATTTATTTAATCTATTTAATTCATTTAAAATAAATAAATTAAGGAACCTCCTCAATTTATTTATTTTAATGTGAATTCTTCTCTCCTTTGCCCAGAAGGGCCGGGTGTTGCTTGTTTCTGCGAAGCCTTCCGCCTTTGTCGGTGACATGCACGGTGGCCCGTCTGTTTTTCTTGGGAACTAAGAAAAGAGGGCACTGGAGAGGCCGTGGGGCATGGTGGGGGCCCCCGTTCGTATTTGGGTCCCTGCTCACGACGACCCTGTGAGGGAGGCTAGCCGGAGAATGAGCAAGCGGCCCCAGGGAACCACACGGCCCTGTGGAGGCGGCCCCGGCAGTGCAATCCGGCTCGGGCTGTCTTTTGGTGGGTGGCGCCGGAGGACGGGCTCTCCGTGTCTGTCGGAAACTGCACACCGAGGACGGGCCGTCTGCTGCGGGGGGTCCCAGCGCTTCTCTCTCATGGGTGGCGAGGTGCTCAGGACCTCCCTCGAGGAGACGGGATTCCCTCTCCTTTCTTCCACGCCAGGGGAGGCAAGAAGGAAGGAGTCCCCACCCAGGAATCCTGTCCCGTACCAGCCAGCACGATACGAGTGGATAAAGGACTAAGACTTCATCACCATCACCTTAGAATGGCCGAGTTGGAAGGGGTCCTCTGGAGCATCCAGTCCAGCTCTTGTCAAATAGGCACACTGGGGGGGGGATTCGAACTCCCCACCTCTGCCTCTGCAGGCAGAGACCTCAATCCTGGAGCTCTCCAGCCGTTCTGGGAGACCTGGGTTCAAATCCCCACGTGACCCCAGAAATTCAGTGCAATGTGTGCACGGGGGGGGGGGGACGGACCACAATGGCCCGCCTCTGCCTTGACATCTCCCGTGCTTTGGGAATCCTTCTAAAAGGTCTCCCTAAAAGAGACAAACGGATGTCACCCTCACTGGACGGAGGGCAGATTCTTCCCCACAGAGTAAACATCTGGGCCCAGCGGTTGCCTTCCTCTCTCCCTGCTGTAATGTGTCTTTCGGAAATAGCAAGCCTCTCTCTCTCTCTCTCTCTTAAACAATTGCAGATCAAAAATATGACATGGTGGACTCTTCGCCGCCCCGAGGGTCCCCCTTTGCCCCGCCGGCCGGCCTCCAAATCGCCGCCCACAAACGGCTTTTGTGGGTCAGAAGAAGACGGTAGGTCTTCTGAACCGCATCCTCTCCTCGGGACGAGAAGGAAAGCGAACCCCAGCCTGTGACCGGGTGGAAAGAGGCCAGGGAAGTGAGAAAGTTTTCGAGAGAAAGGCTCCTGGACAGAAGCTTTTCCGCTTTTTTTTTTCCCTGACAGATTCCCAAGAAAACAGCCGTCCCTGCAAAAGCATCTGCCCTGGGATGTCTTGTGGACCCGGTTTCCTGAAAACAGAGCGACCCGCCCGGGAGGCTTCCCACGACATGTCAGAATCCTCCTCCTGGGCTCGGATCTGTGCAGTCAACGCCATCATCCTCATCGCTGTCAACATCTTTTTCTACGCATACTTTGCTTAAAAGACATCTCTCTGTGAGTTGGTCCAGGAGGGCCAAAGCATTGGGGATGCTAGTGGTTGTCCTTTTTCCTGAAAACAGAGCGACCCGCCCGGGAGGCTTCCCACGACATGTCAGAATCCTCCTCCTGGGCTCGGATCTGTGCAGTCAACGCCATCATCCTCATCGCTGTCAACATCTTTTTCTACGCATACTTTGCTTAAAAGACATCTCTCTGTGAGTTGGTCCAGGAGGGCCAAAGCATTGGGGATGCTAGTGGTTGTCCTTTTCTTTTNTATAGAGTAGAAGATGCTGGGATCTGGCATATGGCTATCATAGATTGGCATTTTTCTTTTGTAACCATGAGGTCTAGAATCTTTCTGAAATTAAAAGCTGTTAAAATTTGGTTGCAAAAGTGCTTCCCTGAGTCTCAAGGAGCCAATAAATATTTTGACTGGACTCTGCCTGGCCTGCCAAAGAAGAAGTGGCGTTAAACCCAGAAGAAAGTAAGGAATGTCCTCCAGGACTTTTTCCTTGTCTCTAAAGAGGGAACAGAAATGCTTTTATGGATTGGGGAGGATAAATGGTTATGCACATTTGTTTTTCAAAATGCAACCAGATCCCACCCCCCACCCCGCTCTGTTCTGCTCTTTGTGGTGGCTTATACTGGGGAAGGCAAAGCGGGGGTCAGATGCAGCCGAGGGTCTTGCTTGCCCCAGATAAGCGGGCGACGTGTCTCTCTCGGTGAGCAGCCCCTTTGCAAACACCAGGCTTTGGGAATGACTCGAGAGAGAGCAAACAAGCCAGGATTTGGAAACAAGATGGCACAGGGGAACCTGGTGATCTGTCTAAATGGTAAACGACACTTCCTGGGGGCTCTTAGGAGTGGCAATACTTCATCCTCCCCAGATGGGAAAAAAATTGGGTGGCGGAATCTGGAGACTACAAGAATAACGCCGAGGGGCAGAGGCTACGTGCGTTCCCACTTGGCTGTAGCACAAACCGGCTTGTGTTTGTTTTTGTGAGTGGGAATCAGGAGGCTGGGATGCAACGGGCATTGTTGGTGAGTCGGATTGCTCGGTCATGGAGATCTGCTGGAACCCTGTCTCTGGAGGGAAAATGTTTTATCCCCTTGCGACTGTGAAGCTGGTGCCTCATCCTGCTCTGACTCGACCAGCTGTTTTGCGGTTCTTCCTCTGAGTAGGGAACACCTGGAGAAGACAAGGTCTGTAATACATCCTAGAAGCTATTGGCTGGTGATTAACCTAGTATGAGAAATAATGGAAATCTTCTGGCAACCTGTTAAATGTCCTAAGCGTGGGAATGAGGGTGCCTCATTTGTTGATGGTCACTGCGAATACCTGGAACGCTGGCGAGAAATGAAGTCAACAGATACTAGAAAGGGAAGCAAGGTCCGTACAGCGATTCTCTGGAGGCTCCGGATACCTTACCCGGTTTGCAGCCCAGCTGATGAGAAATGGGTTTCAGCAGCAGCATCATGAACCTACAGATTTGTGGTTTTGCAAAAAATGAAATAGAGGGTTTTCCAGATGCGGCTTTTATTTTTCAGTCATTTTGCTATATTTACAGTGACCAGAATCTAGCTGAATATTATTTACAAGGATGTAGCTAGGACCAGTGAAGACCCACCAATTAACGACACTCCAATTAAAGCATGCTACTAGGAATTCAGTGGGCGCTGTGGGCTGCCATCACACTGGCAATAAGAACCGCATTTAAGCATTGTTTAAAAGCATCAATTTATATTTTATCGTTTACACAATGCGAGGGCGAAATCGATTTATATGGTCTGCCAATCGAGGTTTTTTCCCCCCAACTGGCAACCAGGGGCTCTTTAAAACACTTCTAAAGTTGATTCGGTTCAATGTGGTTTTCGTGGAAATGAGTTGACTTCAGCAGAGTAGATGCCAAAACTGGTTTAAATCACCAGAAATAAATCTATTTTCATGGGAATGTGGTCACCGGTTCAAATGCCACGTGACTTGAATCTGATTTTTTAAAAGTCTGATCAGAAACCGATTCAAACTGCCAGTGTGACCACACAATTACTCCATTGTGTTGCCGGAGATGGGAATTTCACAGTGCCGATTTTATGGGGTCCTGTGTCCGTATGGATTTAAGCATTTTCTTTTCTGCCTCATTGCGTTTTCCCACTGCTTTTATTTCTTACTGTTGTGGAAGAGAGAAATAATTCCAGGGTCACTGCGTCAATTTTCTGGCTCTTGGGAGGGGGGGTCTAGAAACCCAGGTCTCCCCAATTGGAGTCCAAATGAAACGCTGTTTAAGGCGGGAAAGGCAGAATACTGGCCCCATGTTGGCTAGCAATAGTCGTGGGAAAACCCAGATTTTCCAACTCCTGACGTATCTCTTTGGGCTGTAATATGAAGAAGGTCAGGTACCATGTGAGAAGTTCCAAGAGGCATGTTTGTATTCCATGATCTCCACTTCTAGAGGTTTTCTTCAGCTCCTGGAATGTGAGCCTCCAGACGGGTCAGAGCGGATCACAGGCGAAGAGGGAAAACGTAGTTTCGGGGCACGAGGCCGGTTTTCACCCCTAACTTCCCCCTCCACCAGTTAGGGTCGGAGCCGTCCAGGATCTCAAGGACGTCCCCTCTGCAGAAGCTCAACTGGGACGAATTTTCGGCCGCGTAATCGAACTGAGCTTGCACATATTTTGCCTTCTTGGGCTGCGTGTAAAAGAGAGCAAAGGTTAAAACAGAGGCTCACCGTTGGAGCGTCCTTAGAGGTGAGCTGCTCTTAAGAGGTAAACGACTAGCATTGATCCTAGCATAAGTTTTCCTCAGCTGCGCCAAACCACTTGGCCTTGTATTGGGATTGGTCATCAGGAAGTCCACCTGGGCTTCCTTGGCCAGTGGGATGGTCTAGGTGTGGGAGCTTCGAAGGAATTAGGTCTCTGGAGGGAAAATGTTTTATCATCTTCTAAATAAATACACGGCTGGCATCTCATCTAGTTCTTCCTTGAGGCAAAGGCTGAGAGGAAATAGCAGGCTGCTCACCAACCAGCCGGGCTTCTCCCATCTCCTCTTAGGGATTGCCAAAAAAGTGATCTCAGTGGGAAATGGCTCCCTCCCTGTTTTCCACCCACTTCGCTTTTATCCCCTTATATTCCTTTTGATTCAACAGGAGTTTGAAACAATGCCGTGCCAGGGAGTGGGGGGCGGCGGGGAACCCTGTCTGTCTCCAGCCAAAGTGGGGAAGTAGAAAAGAGGAAAGAAACAGGAGTGATAATCCTTTATCTGGCTATCAGGTCGTCTAATTCCGGGGAAGAAACTACCTTTCCCAAAGTTGGAACTTTTCCCAGGGATAGTAAGGTCTCTTTCTCTACCTCCTGCATTTCCCCATGATCTCGGAGGAAGAGCTGGCCCTTCTTCACGATGGTAGTGGTCCTGTAGAAATCCACCAGTTCGTTGATGGAGTTGAATTTCTCGTCCCAAAGGTGGTACTTCCCGTTTTTCTCTCGCAGGACCTTGAAGTGGAGCACCTGCTCTCCGGAGCTGTAAAGAGAAGGCAGAAAGGGACCCTGGATGATGCCGGATGAGGGAGGTGGCGCCAGGCCAGGGCAGAGGGTTTTCCCCGCCGCCCCCAGCAAGGATCCCATCCACGACGGCTTCAGAGCGGCTCAAGCCAAGAGAAAACGCCGGCGGCCGTGATGTGTCTGGTGCCTTGTGGCCACCCGCAACGCCGCGTGGATCCCCTTCTTTCCAAGCAAGCCACAACCCCTTTCCCCCTCGACCCCGGAGCTTATTTTACACGTCTGCACACTTTTAATTTTATTTCTTTTTTCTTTTCTGGTTCTGTTAATTGCAAGAGAGATTGAGCCCACCCGTTACGGAGGTGCCTCAAAACGCAGTGAGGACGGCAACGTAGGCGAAGAAAAGCGCCGATCCGCGAAGGGGGCTGTTTGGGTCTTCGCCCATTCGGTTAGTGTTTTTGAGCGCTGTAATCCAAAAGAGAGAGGAAAAAGGAACTTTCCCAGTTTCTGCCCTGCGTGCATACGGTGTGCTTCCTAAGAGGCTGCTTTATCTCCATGCTACAAATATTTAGGCCTTCCTGCTCATATGTGGCATCTACATCTAATGCATTGTGATGCCTGTTTGCTTAAAATGAAACCCATTGAGTGTTTCAGGACTTACTCCCTAGTAAATGGATGTAGATTTGCAGCTTCCAGAGGGTAAATCAGAATCTTTCTGACCTTCAGCTTGGACAAAGTTCCTTTTTCCGGGGTATGGGGGAGGGAGGAACTACAATTCCCAGAATCCTCCAGAATTCAGCATGGTCACTGGCTTGAGGCAATTTGGGATGAATCCTGGGGAAAAAGGGACTTTTGCTTCCCAGCTGTATTATGAACACACCGATAGCTGCGGGAATTTCTCTTCCGTTTCAGAAATGTGTTTCTTCCCTAACCTCGCTTTGTTTCGGGAAGCGTAGTACAGTGGGAAGGTGTCACTGACCTGCAGTTAATGTTATTATACGTCTGGGTGTCCCGAAACCCTTTGGTGATCTGTTCCCAATGGCCCAGACCCCTAGGGGGGGAAAAAGATTCCAGCGTTACCTTTTTACATACCTGTGTCCTAAGATAAACTTTTTTAAAAAACGTGTACCGTTGCATCCTGGCCCTTGCCGAAGGGTTGAGACAGGTTTTATTTCCAAGTTCCCAGCAAAACCTGACTGCAACATTCACATTAAAATATAATTAAGGTCTCTTTCTCTCTTCGCCCAGGTTTGCCGTAATCTGTCAGCCACGGACGTCAGCCGAAGGAAAGACGTAAAAGGGCCAGCAGAAGAAGAGCTTTCTGCAAAGGGGTGCGGTTTTCCCTCCCAGACTGCCAGGATTCAGGTGGTGACTTGCTTACGGGAAGGAGCTCCTGCAGATCCATCATTGCAAATAGCATTTTAATGACTTCTGTGAAAACAGTGGAAAGCCTGGAAATGGTTCCCACATCGCGCTACAGGTCGGGAGGAATACGGGAGGCCAAGGTACGAAACGTCCTGTTCCAAGATCTTGAAGCACTAAGGAGTTCTCCTTTCCTTGGCGTCTGTCTGAACCTCAAGGACACTAAGGAGTAATCCTTCCTAGCGAGAGTGGGACCCCCTTTATCCACGGGATCAGTATCCACTGATTCACTTATCCATGGTCTAAAAATATTAAAACAATAATCCTAGGAAAATAGATATATTTTTAAAGGGGAAGTTGCCAGAACTGGCCACTAGAAAGCACCAGAGGCTATGCTGTGTGTATAGCCTTTGCTATTAGAATAGAGTTCACTATAATCTCTGTTTTTCAGCATCTGTGGAGGTGGGGGGAATTGGAACTCATATCCTGTGGATGTGGGGGGGTCCTGCTCTATTCGCGTGTGGATTATGTACCATTAAAGCCTAGGATGAGATGTTAAGGAGAGGTTTATCATTGCTGTATAAGCCCAATGATTTTCCATTTTGGAAAACCAGGATTTGAACCCAGATCTTCCGAGCTCTGGTCTGACAGCTCTACCTGCCATGTCCGGCTGGCTCTCCTAGACTCGGAACAGGAGGGAACAGGAGGCACAAGCCGAGAGAGAAGCAAAGGCCTGCCAGCGTGGGTAGCACAGTGTGGGGCAGCCCCTCGGCATAACGCGCCGGTTGTTGCAAAGGGCACAACCTGCCACGAAGGGGACGGTTTGTCAACAGGAAACCAGATGGACGCTGAGCCCAGATGGAAAGTGTCATCCAAAGGCTGCTTTTGACTCCGGAGTAAAGGCAGCCAGGCGAAGCATGCTTCTCTAAAGACATGACAAAGAGCCTGAAGAACGCTTTGGAACAGGTCATCAAGAACGGGGTCCCTTCTAACAGGGGGACACGGCCCATATGTCCCAGCAGAAGCCTTCCTCGCCTCTCCACATTGCAAACCTGCTTCCTTTTCTTTTGGGGATTAGTAATCAGGAAGCAAGCATGGGCTTCACTGGCACGTTGGCCTGCTCAGGCATGGAGCTTTGAAGGAATTACATCCCTGGAGGGAAAAACATTATATTGGGTCCGGAAAAAGAATACTTGAGTGCAGGATGCTGACTTTACTAACAGTGACGATTTATGCTCTATGTTGCCTCCCATGTCACAAGTGCCTTGGTTTCTGATGCCAGCTTCTGGGAAGCGCCCCCCCCCCAACTCTGCATCTTAGTGAACCTGCTTTAGATGGTCTCCTTTTTGCCAGTCAGAGGCTCAACCCACAAGCTGAGTCGCTCAAGTTCAGGTGGTGACATGGAGGGGAGTCCAGTCTTCATCCCATCTTTCTTCATTGAGCCAGACTCATTTTACAGGTGAAACCTGTGTGCGTTTTGGTCCATGCACCTTTAAGGAGCGACCTCTCTTCACCTTTGTCCGAGGTAAACCCACGTGTGTTTACAGGCACATGGAATCTAGTGTGATGATGGCTGGAGGGCAAGATAAAGCCTCTCCCTCTGGGCCACCCCAAGCAGCTAAAATTCATCATGACAAGGTGGATTCTTAAAAATGCACGTCCCTCCTTCTGCCTTGCAAGACACACACATCTTTCAAATTCTAGTTGTTAATTTTTTTTTCCCAACAGCACTGAAGGCTGACAAGGACTCAGAACGGTCGCTAGCATTTCTGCAGGTGGAGCATTCATTGCAGCACTCCTTTTCTTGCAACCAGAAAGCTAGCAGTGCAGGGAGGGTGGCTGGCTAGCACCCGTTCTCCTTGACATGCTAGCTTTCTCCGTACAAGGGGATCTTTTGAACAATGAGCAGGGCTTCTCTGAAGGGTCCATGCCTTTTCCCCTACTCTGCTGCTTTCAGCCGTCAACGAACTGAAAACCTGAAAGAGTGACGCTTCTATTCACTGGGGGCGGAAATGGTCCCCATCTGTGTAGAACTCTTCTACCGTAAGTCATCGGCCATTCCGAATCTGAGCTTGGAAAAGTTGCTTTTCTTACAGACCACGTCCTGGAAAACCGCAGCCAAGTGAGTTAGTCAAAGTTATTAAAACATCAAATCACATGAAATGGCAATCTGCACACTGCAGGTGGCCTCGGTGTCCATGCCAAGGATTGGACATCCATGTGTGGCAGGGATCCCAGGTTTCTCTTCCAAACCGCACTCCCTCCTACACAGAGATTTCATGTCTTACAGAATTCTGGATTAAAACACATGCTAAGCTACATCGAGAGCATGCCTTTAAAAAAAAAGCATATCATCATCCTTACACTTAAGCAAGCGTGTCCAGGCCTAGACGAGATCAGGACCGACATGTAAACGTTGCAAACAGAACTGTGTTCTTTCCGATCGCTGTGGCGGCCGCGCAGTCAGAGATCATGGCAGTTCATTGTGTGTGTTAGCTTCTCTTTCAAACTCTCAATCAACGTCGGTGGTTCAGCTTCGAAGTGGCGATAACCATGTTTTCCTCAAGCATATCTCGAAGCGAAGGAACAAATACCTTCCTAGGCTTTCTTACATGGGGGTGGCAACGCTCGCCGTGTAAACAGAAGCAGCCTCCTGCCGGTCCCCCTGAAAGGATGTGCGATGGGTCAGGGCACCCTCTGGTGTCGGAACGGCAACGTTTCACAGCGTTCGCTCCTGGTTTCCATCTGGAAAGTGCCATTTTGCCAAACCACCGGTCAGGTCTTGGAGGAGGAAAAGGGAAAGGAGGATCCAGTTCTTACAAAAATGTCAAGATGGATTGGAGAAAGACGGAGCAAGAGGTCTGGAAGGTGCTGCCTTAGGGGGTCATGAGACAGGCCACCAGCTCCAAAAATGACCGACAACTTAGGTTTCTGTGTAGGAAGGTGGGAGTTATTCCATAACAAACGGCAAAAGCACAATGCATTTTAAAAAGTAGTTCTTAGAAGTTAATGATCCGTGTCTTGGCAACATATGTTTGCTTGGAAATACAGGGATGTCTTAGAATTAGCTATATTGTGGTCCGAAAGATGGTGATGGAAGGAGGCCCATGGATCCCTGGTCGCAAGCCATGTCAGGCAGAGCACATCACAGAACCCTAAAATGGTAGAGATGAAATGGACCGAAGGATAATTTGAGCCAGCCTCTTCCAATATAAAAAAATCCACATCTAAAGCATGATTGACAGATGGCCAGACGGAGGTGTCTAAAGACTTCCAGAACCATCGTTACTATTGTCGTTGTCATCATAGAATTCTAGAACTGGAAGGGACCCTGTGGATCCATGTGAGTTAGTGGGAATAAATTGGCATAGGAAAACCAAGAAGCTTTGCAGGAGCCAAGAGACAATATTGGAGATACGGATGATTCTCAGGAGCCACTGGAACTGGTTCCCTGTTTTTTTTTGGGGGGGGTCCCTATTAAGTGTGCAGCAAAACCTGCCTGGCTTCCTATGCAGGCATCTATTTAAACTATATGCTCGTCTTTAGTATTCTTATTCCAGATCCTCTTCTCAAATTATGAGGTGGGTGTTAGTAGGGGGAAGAGAGGCCCTTTTGGGAGCGATAACTTACTATGCAACAGAGAGGTTTGTCTGATGCCATATTTATGTTATTTCTGGGTGCCTGATGAAGGCCTGTTATTCACCCAGCCCTTTTAAAGTCTAGGCCTTTCAGTTTTTCAAAGTAATTGTTTTCGTTGTGTTTTCAATTTTTAATCTGTTTTTGTTGTTGTTGTTTAAATTTGTATTGCCAAGAGGGTCATGTGGAGTACTAGCAGGACCTATATAAAGTTTACCAGGTCAGTGGGGCTGGTCAGCCTTGGGAGGCAGCACATCTAGGAGAAGGAAAACTCTGACTCCAAACCTCCACTGCCTTGTGGCTATATCCACAGATGGAAAGGGCTTCAGGAGTCAACCTTGAGGCAAATTCCGGAGCCGGAGTCCCAGAGGTAGTTTGTGTCTGCTGGCAACTCCTGCGACGTCGCTGGGAAGGTGGAGGTAAGGGGCTAGTTTCTGCTTATTTTTGGATTTTTTTGTTTTTGTCTTTTTGTTTTGTTTTGTTTTGTTGCAGCCCCAGGGACTTGCAGTGTTTCATTTTAATTTTTTTGGTGATTTTTTTCCTTTGGCCAGAATGCATTTTACTGTACTGTATTCGTCTGCTTTTAAAGTTGGAAATGGTGTTCCAAAGGTTTCTTGGGCTGATGGAGGTCTAAAATGCAGCTTAGACTGAAGTCTCAACACACACACACTCCCATGCTTTCTTTTTGTGATGAGGAGTTCTGTGATGGAAGGATGTTTGCTGATTGCTGGTGCAAGCCCTCCCTCTTTTAAATATAAAAGGTGTTTGGCTTGGTTGAAAAGGTGCTCCATTTTAAAGGTGCTCTATTTAAAAGGTGTTCCCTCCCTCCTTTCCAGCTTTTTTTTAAATCCTAAAAAGCGCTTGGCTTAGTTTAAATCTGCTTGGCTTTAAAGTTTTCCTGTTGAAATGGTGTCCGTTGGTTCCCTCCGTGGTTTCCTGCACTTTCTTCATCTTAGGTTCAAAGCAGAAAAAAGAAAAAAATTCTCTCCCTAGTGATACAGGACGGATTCACCGGCTTTGCATCCGTTCCGATGGGAACCAATGCTTTGATGTGTAATTGGCGCCACAAAAAATAGCCGGGGGTGTACTTTTACTTTCTACTTTCGTATTTTTTCCATCTTGATTATACTGATATTGTCAATGTAAATTGTTGTTTTAATTGTTTTTATGAATCATTTTATTGTGAGCCGCCCTGAGTAGTCATGTGTCTAGAAGGGAGAGGGGTAAACATCTAATAAATAAATAAATTAAATAGGCAGCAGGGTGGGTGAGTGGGTGGGGGACCCACCCAGGGGACCCACCCAACCCCTCATTGTGGGGACCCATCCTACCCCTCATTGTGACATCACTGAAACCTGGCCAACATTTTGGAGGAAAAGCCTCGCCTGGCACACTTGGCCAAGTGATCATGGGGGACGCCACAAGGCTCGCCTACCTGATTGCGATCCTCGGCTCTCTGATTTTAAAGATAATCTCCTTGCTCATCCTTGCCTGCCCCACTTGGGCAGGAAATCATGGTGGAGGCCACAAGGTTTGCCTACCTGATTGTGGTCCTCGGATCTCTGCTTTCAAACGAAGACCCTGGCCATGCACCAGAACTCCAGAGCCGAGATCTGGGGGACCCCTTCGCCAGCCGGGAGGAGGAGCAACCCTGGCGGGACTCTAACGGGGATGCCGAAGCCAGCGTGCCATGGGGGTTCTGGAACATCTTCCTCCCAGCATTTTATTATTTGTTAGGCTCTCTGGTTTCGTATTTGTGTAAAATCATGTGGGGGCGGCTGGGAAACTGGCTCACTTCATGGACAGGGACGGTTCAGCGGCGGCGAGTTGAGGTGGATTCGAACCCGGAGCCGGAACAGCATGGTGAGGGGGCCCTTCCATCATCTTCCAGATATGCTCCCACCGTGCCAGGTGCCTCTGGATCCCAGGAGAGACGCTGCCAGTGCACGCTACATGAACAGAACAGGGTGCTGGAGACACTGGGGGCTGTGCGCCTCAAGGAAGATACTGGTTTCTGCTGGACGAGCCAGACACTCTCCGCTGTCAGGGACTGCACACTGTCTCTTAACACAGGAGCAGCAGCAGCAGAGGCAGAAGGAGAGAATGTGCTTCCAGCAAGCCCATCTTCTGAGAAGCCGCC